GATCATGAGGACCCCCTTCTGCCCTTAAATGTAGGCATCTCTCAGAAAAGCTTGAAAATGTGACCCCTATAGGCTCAAAACCCAGATGCCGAAAAGCACCCAATGTTTCTTATTTTTAAAATCTGGTGATGGCTGAGGGCCTGCCTCCTGGCGTTTGAGCAAGTGGGGCTGGCAATACTAAATGAGGTGACACCGCGGCGAGCTAGGCAGCCTGGTCGAACCAGCCCATTTTCATTAAGCCACCTCTTGTTTCTAAAAGAGACATTATCTGCGGTAGCCTTTGACTGGGCATGGAGTGGCATCTGGGTGCCTGTTTAAACCCCTTGCGCTCATCCTATCTGACTAAGCAGAGAGCCAGGTTCAGGTAGGCTCAGTCTCCATCCCTCATTTGCTCAGGGGGTAGTACCACTTCCCACCCCTGTCCCAGAGTCCTCCCTGCCAGTTCCAAAGCACACCAGCTCCCCAGCGCCAGGGAGGGTGCGGGTTGCCTTCCTTGATGCTGTCGTGCCTCAGTTTCCCTCTGAGTGGGCTGGGGTTTCTTCAGCCTGTGAGGCCAGGTCGGGAGCTTTGGCCCTCTGGCAAAGGCAGAGTCTAACTAAAAGGGTCTCCCAGCCATCTATATTCCTCAGTCCTGTGACCCTTCCCAGGCTGCTTCCATCATGAAACCTGGGCACAGGGGACGCCTTGGCGCATGCTGCTCTTAAAGGCCCAGCTCATTTTGTAACACCCCCGCCCAGACACCAGCAGAGGGCTAATACACCCTCTTCACGCCTGCTGCCCAGGGCTCCTCACTCAGGTCCTATAGGCTCTGTGCCCTTCCCAGTGTCCATCGCCTGTTCCCAGCTTGAGGTATAGGGAATGGCCAGCTCCAGGGTTGCCACTGCCCAAACTCAAGGAAAAACCTGCCACTGCCCACCCCCAGCCTTACTCTCTTCTTTCAAGCATCCCCTCACCAGCCTGACCCCCACCCCGACCCATAAGCCCCTACACCCATTCCCTCCCAGGAGCTTCAGCCCTGGAGAGAGCCCCTACTGTCCCTGCCTCCCCCACTCCCTGTCTCTGCTCCCTACATGTCCCTGTTGGAGAGCCTCGGTCTGTCTGTCCTGCTTCCCCGACCTAGGTGCTGAGAGGAGCAGGAACCTCAGCCACTGTTGAGGGCCTGGCACGTGGCGCGGGATGACTTACGAGGAGAGGCTGAGGGCACTGAGCTTGTTTAGTATGCAGAAAAGAAGAATGAGGGGGGATGTGATACCAGCCTTCAACTACCTGAAAGGGGGTTCCAAAGAGGATGGAGCTCGGCTGTTCTCAGTGGTGGCAGATGACAGAATAAGGAGTTATGGTCTCAAGTTGCAGTCCGGGAGGGCTAGGTTGGATATTAGGAAACACTATTTCACTAGGAGGGTGGTGAAGCACTGGAATGGGTTCCCTAGGGAGGTGGTGGAATCTCCACCCTTAGAGGTTTTTAAGGCCCGGCTTGACAAAGCCCTGGCTGGGATGATTTAGTTGGGGTTGGTCCTGCTTTGAGCAGGGGGTTGGACTAGATGACCTCCTGAGTCTCTTCCAACCCTGATATTCTATGATTGTGGTGCAGGGTCAGGAATGGAGGTGAAAAAGACAAGAGGGAAAACGCTCCACCTGTGCGATTTGCTGTTGCCTCGCTGTTCCCCGGTGCGCTTCCCTCTCACAGATGTGGAAGGATCTGGAAGGTCTGCCCTATGCTTGTGCACAATCACTAGAGCACCAGAGCCTCACCGAACTCTCCTGGACACCAATGGGAGTAAGAAGACACTGACATCCCTTTGGGGCTCAGGGCCTAGGTGTCTCGCTGTGCTGGGTGAGTGAGCGTCAGGGAATATGCTTAGGGCCCAGCTATACAAGGGCTGTGTTTGTGGCTGGGCTCAGCTTGGGGGGTGCGCAAGGTGGCACGAGCTTCTCCCTTGCCTCTGTCCCCGGCACAATCCCACAGCAGGCCCTGAGCGGAATGAAGTCAGTTCCCATGGAACCAGCTGCAGGTTAGCAAGGCTTGTGCGGAATGGGCACAATCAGTCTGCTTAATTAGGACACCTGCGTGTGATTGACACGGCACTCAAAGAATGGTACCCAGTGTGAGCGTTAGAGGCAGATCTTGGTTCATCTCCCTGTGCCCCATACTGGCTCAGCATAACAAATTTGCGTTAGCAACCCTTTCAGACCCCTTTGGAATCTAGGGCTGTCAACTTGTAGTATTTAAAAACCGGACACTCCAACAGGAGTGCTGGAACCATCCCTTCCCCGCCCCTTCCTCTGAGACCACGCCCTTGCCCCGCCCCTTCCCTGCAGGCCTCACCTGTGCCCCGCCTCTTCCCCCCCCCCGAGACCCTGTCCTTGCCCCACCTCTTCCCCCGAGACCCTACCCTGGCCCCGCCCCTTCCCGGCAGGCCTCACCCCTGCCCCGCCTCTTCCCTCAAGGCCCTACTCCTGCCCTGCCCCTCCCCCTGAGGCCCTCCCCCCATTCACGCCTCTTTCCCCCTGCCCCCATCGGTCGCTGCTCTTGCCCTCTCTTCCCGACCTCTGCCCAGGTCGGGAGGGATTCGCCTGCTGAGCCAGGGCAGGGAGCTGCAGCCACCCGACGCAGGTAGGAGGTGGCCCCGGCTAAGTAGGGGCTGGCGCGGTTGATGACTCGGCGCCTCTCCGCTTCCCCTGCCTGCAGTAACCGGACTTCAGGTGTCCAGTCAGTAGATACGATCGGACACTGTCAGATCCCCTTCTTGACCGGACTTTCCAGTCAAAAACCAGGCACCTGGCCACCCTGTGCCGTTTGGAGGCGTGCCTCCGCTGGCTGATGCTGCAGGAGCACAAGCCGGCGCAGAATGCCATTGCCACTGGATTCCTCTGGTGCGATGTCATCTCAACGCAGTTCAGGGGGTGGGGGTGGTGAAAAGCCTCTTTATTTAGATTGTCAGGTCTCTGGGGTAGAGAGACTTTTACTGGGTTTGTACAGCACCTTGCACAACGGGGCCCTGATTACAGTTGGGGTCTCTGGGAATGTCCATAATATAAATATAATCATTTGAGGCCAGACTTGCATAACAGTGAACTCTAGATGGGCAGGAAGGAAGGCGCAACATTTTGAGTCCCTAACGGATGCCTCTTGTCGATCAGGAATTCCAGCGAACTGGGACAAAGGCCTGCGAAGCAGGGCACCCCCCCATCAATTGGATGCTGCAGTGTTTGCGTGTGTTACTCACATAGACTAGCATTCGCTCATCTCGAGTTAGGGCTTTTACACTAAGCGTTTGGAGCGTTCCAGAGACGCCACTCTGCATTGTTCGCTCCCGGCTTACTGAAGGCATGGCATAATTCTGAATGGAAAGAGACGCCTACAGGATATTGAGAACATAAGAATATCAGCTGGTATGAGTGCATCTTTCAAAATAGCCACTGCAGCCACACGAGGAGAATAATAGAAGCAAGAGGCACTGCTACATAGAAGGGCTCGCCGTGGGAAGGGAAGACAAGGCGGGATCTCCTCGTTTCAGCCTATTACTGCACCTGCACTTCTTCACCTTGGTTTTGTCCATTTCCACCAACCGTTGCCGTCGCCGGGGGAATTCAGGGCCTGGATCGTGAGAGATGCTGGGCATCCCCCAGCTCCAATTAAGTCAACAGAAATTGCTTGGGTGCAAATCCCCAAAGGCACTTAGGCTCCTAACTTCCATTCTGGACCCTGCTGCTCTAAGGGTAAGCATGGAGCAGGTTGCGAGGGTGTGTCGTGGATTGTTCTTCTGCTCAACATGCTGATTTGGGCAGTGTTGTGGATTCTTCCATTGAGCACTGTCAGGGTGGTTTTCTGGTGGAAATACAGACAAGCTAGGTCTTCCAGTGGGACTCCAAAGGTCCTTGCAAGCATGGAAGCCTACTGTCCAAAGGCAGCTCTCCTCTGTGGACCTCTGTAGTATGTTATCTCATTCTTATATTGAAGTTGCTATATTGAATCAGACGATTGGTCTATTTAGTATCCAGCCTCCTTTTGGCAAGGACCAGAACCCAGCACTTCAGAAAATTCATTCCTCATGCACCTAACCAATTATGTGGGGTTCTGTCTCTGCTTGGTGTGGACACTGAAAAGTCTGGGGAGCTTTGCACAGAAGCAAGGATTTGTCCAAGTGTCCTTGGTCAAAACTGTCCCCATTTCTCACCGTTAGGAGCTGCAGGAACTCAGAAATTTTGAAAATCAAGCAAACGACTCCATGTATATCCACCTATATAAGTTGCCTGGTTTTCAGAAAAGCCAAGGGCCCAGAGCTCCCACTGAAGCCAACGGCAATTTAGCCTGACCAAAGACTTCCGGAGTTTTCTTGATACATTAGCATACCAACTGTCATCCTGAAAGCATCACTGAAATACAGCCACTTCTGGGGTGGAGTGTCACAGCCAACCAGCGCACACAGCACACTGTTAAACAGTGGCGGAAGGGAACAGTTTTGCCCAACACTTGTTCCTACAAAACTCAATGGTGCATCATATGGAATGTCCTGGCACATGCAAGGACAGATTCTTAGCTGGTGTAAACGGCATTGCCGTGTTGAAGTCAATAGAGCTACACTGATTTGCACCAGCAGGAGAATCTGGACTGTAGTTTCTTGTTTTGCATGCACATTTAGGCAGATGGAATATGTAGCACTGGTCCACCCAACAGGGTTCAAAAAAGATCTAGATAAGTTCATGGAGGATAGGGCCATCAATGGCTATTAGCCAGGGTGGGCAGGGAGGATGTCCCTAGTTTCTGTTTTCCAGAAGCTGGGAATGAGTGACAGGGGATGGATCACTTGATGATGACCTGTTCTGTTCATTCCCTCTGGGGCACCTGGCATTGGCCACTGTCAGAAGACAGGATACTGGGCTAGGTGGACCTTTGCTCTGACCCATTCTGGTCGCTCTTATGTTCGTATGGACTGGCAGGCTCGAATACACAAGTGTCTTCAGGGTTGAGGGAGAGAGAGGCACACAAACAAAGATCCTTAAATGTTCACAAAATCAATAAAGATTTCTTTTTATTTTAATTCCCTTTTTTTTTACATACACCTGTGGTTTTTTTCATTTTCCTGTCATTATTTTGGTCCATACAGAAAAGTAAAGGTGGAGGAATGTAAACCATATGCATTATTGAAGACATCACAATGCAGTGTCTCAATAGTACATAGAAATAAATCACAGTTTTGTCCTTTATATTTCCCCTGCCCCTTTTATGTGAAATGTGATCTAAAAAACAACACACAATGCAAGAGCTCCTTGGTCAACGTCCGCCCCTTTCCCTCCTGCTCCAATCAGAAAAAGGAGCCAGTGTTTGGAGAGGAGGACATTGCAGGCTTGTGGGAGTCAGGATCCTCTCTAGTGCCCATATCAGGTCGCCGATGGCCACCCTCCACTGTTGGCTTAGCATGGAGTTGCTGAGAAGTAGCAATGGGTTTTAGCAGCAGGTAAATAACCTCCTGTCCGTTTCGCTTAGCTCACCAGAAAGACAAGCAAATAGCCTGGTGCTTCTGTAGACTGGGGCCAGGGCAATCTGCCCTGGCATCTGCATTCCTGCTGTAGCTTCTTGTGTGTGCACATGTATATGGACCCAAATCCTCAACTGGCATAAACCGGCAAGCCCCAAGTCAGTGGGGCCAGGCTGATTTATCTCAGTTGCAGATTTGGCCTATGGTGCTATTCTTTCCCTTTATTAGGACCCTCACTGGGGGAACTAAGCCACCGAATGACTTGTATCTTACCACACACCCCTAGCTCCCCATTCCACACGCCCCGTGACCTGAAACATTGCTCGTTTGGTATGGATGGTCACTGTCTTCATTTCAGCGGAGCTGGGTCCACTTCTACAGGAAACCAATGGACAGGAACAAAACCATGTATTCAACCCACTTTCTTCCCAAACACTCTCCCATCCGGATGGCCCCCCTTATCCAGAATCACCTGTCTACTAATTGCCCCTGATTGCCGCAACTAGAGATCCGACCTCTCCGAAGTTCTGTCTCTGAAACCCCATTTCAGACAAACGAGGCTGTACTATAGTTAACACTTTCCCTCCCGCTCTGCTTTCTGGGCTACTTCAAAGCTTGTGTTAATTATTTTTCCAAAGCAGGGGAGGTTAGGGGAGATTGTTCATTGGAATAATGATACTGAGCCTTTTACCTCTTCAAAAACAAAAGCGTGACATCCCGCCTCACTGAAGTCAATGGGAGCCTCGCCATTGAATTCAGTGGGGCCAGGAGTTCATTTGAAATGGACTTCAATGGATCTGTGCTGAGAGCTACCAGTTGAGAATCTGGCCTTATTGACCGTCACGCAGTCCCAGAGAGGTGGAGGGGTAAGCAGTCACCAGAGATCAGAGGGGGGTTAAATAGGAGAACAAGAACTCCTAATTCCTGGATTTCTCTCTTTGTGCTCAGACCGCTGCAGGGGACATCTTTCTTATCTGTGCTGGAGGACAGAAAGGAAGGTTGAAAAAAGTGATCTTTGCCTTTGCGGGGGAAGGGAGAGAGAAAGAAGAACAGATATTGCCAAAGAAGCCATTTGATCTCGGAGTGAGGCCTCTGCTCAGAACAGAAGTCACTCATGTGCTCACGTCCATCTCTATTCAGAACAGCATTTAAACATGTGCGTAGAGTTAGGCACTTGCAGAAGTGTCGTGTAGGTATGTTCTCCAGAACTGGTGCCAGAATTATATTCCTCTCTGGTCCCTGATGCTATTCATTGAAGTGGACTCTTGTTTAAACTTTATTCACTGCAGCATTTTCACTTGCTCATGTTTCCTCAAGCTAGAGCCAGATTCGGAGCTGATGTCTAACCTCATGCGACCGCATTAAATGGGATTGCATGGTTAATCGGGGCTAAATTTGTTCCGCTATGTTCTTAGGAGCACAGGCTTTGGCTCCAATACAAATGCAAGAGCTTAACCTCCAGAGGCTAGCACTGTTTCTTCTTCTTAAAAAAAAACCAACATCAGCTGATCCACTTATCACAGAGCAAGGGGTCCCACCTGTAGCTGTAGTAAGTAGAAATCTTAAAGTGGCTAGGCCAATCCCTAATTATTTGCAGAGAATGTTCATAGGTAGGAATAAAGGCATTGGATTAGCAGCATGAAACAGAATTCTCTATGAGCCTCCAACAGAAGGCTTGACTCTGATCTCTTTTACATGGTGTAATTCAATGACTTCAGTGGAGTTACTCCTGGCGTACAGCAGTGGCTGAAAGATCAGAGACGCCCTTTTTCTAACTGGCCCTGGCGACCAATTATGAATGGCCAGTTGTCTCAATGTATTACTTCTATGCCATCCACTGTTGAGAACTCCCTTCTGCTCAAGAAAGATCGGACAGCCAGGCATCATGCAGAAATTAGTATAATAATGACACTGAAAGTAACCCGGTGAAATAAATACATAATTACTTATCAGCCTGGCTCAGTGAAAATAAATGTTTAATTACTATCTGTTCCTGAGAACAGTATTTGTCTAATAAATCCACCCTTCCAAAAGCAAAAGACCAATTTGGCACTGCGGTACTTCAGTTTTTCACTGATGTAATGCCACAGAAATCATTGGGAAACTGGAATACTGCCATGCTGAATTAAGCCCATTATGGCTCCTTTCAGATACTCTGAATTGGCTTTGTATTAAAGCTGTAGAATGGGCTTCTAGCCAAAGCATGAATCTGAGTCCAGCTAAAAAATATTATTGCATGAAAAACTAACCTCTAAAACTCTCAGCCAGATGAACCTTCATCCATCCATCCATCCATCCATCCATCCATCCATCCATCCATCCATCCATCCAGAGAAGGGATTTAGTTAGTTAGTGAAGGTATTTAGCAGTATTTTCTAAACAAGGCCACCTGGTCGGGACACCCCTTTGATATCATTGGCTTTTAATAGATAGTTGTAAAGATAATTCATTTGGGGGTGAGGGTTCAATTGCAACCCATTACCAATGTCTGTGACTCAGACTTTTGTCTCGAGGTTGTTGTTTCTAATCAAATTGAGACAGAAATTCTTATGAGTTGCTTTGAGCCCAGAAGCTGTTCCTGTGAAATGGAGTTGGGTGGATCTTAGTCAAATTTTAATGGACAGGTGTCTCCATCCAAACTGGCCTTTTTGGCATTTCCAATGGAGACACCAAGGATCAAATGGGCCATAAAGACCAGACTTGCCTCTCAGAACTTTTAGGCAAACGTCCATTAAGGGAAAAGATAAGAAGGCAACCCTAAGCTACTTCTCTCTTGTCAAAGAAGCCCACGTCAAAGCCAGGCTTGTGTGTCTTTCACCAGGATTTTATGAATTGGTGCAGATGAGCTACGTTTTAGTCTCTCTTGTTCTGTCACATGGGTTTATAGCAACTCAGCCATGATTTCCTTTTCTGCTGCAGCCTTAACTAACAGCTCCGCCCACTAGCCAAAGCTCTAGTTTTGATGTTGAGGGAGGTCAGAAAATGGGTTTCACGGCATGGTGATAGGCCAGTGAACTTTTATAAAGATGGCAGGATTTGCTGTTTTGGAAACAGGGTGGTCTTTCAGGCCAACCATATTTGCTGTCCAATAGGGCCAACCTTTTAATTTCACAACAGTATAAAAGCTGCCACACAATCCAGATCACTGAATAGGGATAGACGTGTTCTTTCCTTTTATTCATGCAGTTTACGAATCGTCATGTTTTCCAGGCAAACCAAAAGGCCATGGCCATTCCTACAGGACATTATTTAGAGGGTCTTTTGCAGACTCAGCTCCTTGGCAATTTGCTACATTTCTCATTTCAAGACACCCTAGAAGAATAGGCTACAAACCGCACTTGGTGTGGAGAGATGTAGTAAAAGCTTTACAAGCTCAGTAGCTTGATGCGGATTTTGTGTGGGTCCTTCACTCACTCGCTACAACATGGCAACCCCTCAGAAATAACAGCAAAATTAAAAAGTCAAATGGCAATACGGTTCCAGCACAGGTCTCATCTAGGAATATCTAGTCTCCAAGACACACCACTGGGCGCAATACAATCTCTCACCCAGAGGGTGTAGTTAGATAGAGCTGGCATGGTGAAGACCTAAGCCAACATCCTACGAAATGTTTTACCCACCTGCCAGGCAATTACAAGTTGCAGATGGCAGCATGTTACCCCCACTTACAGAGGATTAGAAATCCAAGAGATGGACACTGAAGCTTTCTGGCTCCCCGCAGAGTGGTTTAAATTGGAAGAGACTGCTCCGATTGTCATTTGCTTCCATCAGAGCTCAGATAGGCCAAGACTCAGAAGAGGAGATGGGGAAGAGATGGATTTGGCTCTGTGTTTGCTTAGAGAATCGGCAGTTCAGTGAAGATTATAATTAATAATTTTAATTTTGCTTAACCCCTTTTGGCTTTATTCCCTTGCCTGAGGAGGACATCCCCCTCAGTTGTCAGAGTTATGTACTTCTGACGCCTTATTCTCGTTTACCCTAACTGAGCACTGCCATCAAAGACGACACAAAGTACAGGACAATGGAGAATCAGGCTCCAAATAATTTATATCCTCTCCTTCCTAATGCTTCCTGGCATCTACTTTCAGTTCATCGGGCACCATCAGCCCACCCTGAAAGAGATGCCAGGTGAATGGAAACATGGTCTTCACATAATGCACTAGACACAGCAACTTGATGGAGGGAGAAACCTTGATTTATCCAGATGGACAAAAAGAGGCAGCCCAGAGCTAAGTGCACTGAACTGTGCAAGAACCTCCAGACTCCATGACTGCAACACACATGAAACACCTAGGCCATGAGCTAAACTGTAGCACTGGGCATTCACCTCACACGCTTTCGTTCCAAAGCATGGGCTTCTGCTCAACGAGCTACAGGCACAATCAGATGTGAAACTCATGAACACTCCAGCCAGTAGAGGGCAGAGCTGGGCACAGGGCAGCTTCACGTATTACTCCAACATACCCTCTAGGGGCTGACTCATACAGGGCTTCTTCTTTTTTCACACATTGCTTTCTCAGGAGAAACTTCCATTGTTCGGAACAGGAGTTTTGGCTGAGGAAGGGCCAGAACGACCCATTTACTCTCGTTGAGTAGCACTGGTTGAAGCCACGGACTCATTCTTGGTGTCACTGAGTAAAGGTATCAGAAGTTACAGCTGGTTAAAAGAACCCACAAAGACATTTTTTCCCCTTAATTTTTGAAATTTCCGCATTTTAAATTATTTCCGTCATCTCTCGGCAAAAAAACAAGAGAATGCATTTTTACAAACATTTCATCACTTTTTTTCCCCCGATACTTTTTTAAATCGAAAACTGTTGCCAAAAATTTTGAAATTCTGATTTCCATCAACGCTATCAAAACCTGCCCCAAGAATGGACTGTGTAAGGACTACAAGATCTGGCTCTAAAAGAGTAAGAACTCCAGGAAGATGAGATGAGACAAAGTGGAGGAATAGGGAAAAAAGACACCATCTCTCAGGAACAAAGATGAAACAAGCTTATAGGGGGTCTACAAACACGCATGCAGAGCAGAGATGATAGGAGACTACCCACATAGAACACACCTTCTGCCTTTCAAGAATCACAAGGAAGGGGAAGAGCAACATCTCTGTGTATTTCAGAGAGGAGGTAGATTAAACCGTGAAGAGCTCAGATTGCATGGCTGTTGATGGGAGGGAAGGGAGTAGGGAGCCAAGTGGAAACAAGAGCAAAGCTTTGAAGAGAACCCTGAAGGGGCTCAATGCTGCAGATCATTTTTCAACACGGTTAAGCCGACAAATAAGACATCACAGAACAGACATCAGGGAGGAGTGCAAGCTGGCTCAGATAAAAAGGAGGACAACTGTCCCCCCCTTGGAACCGTCCTAGAATTGAACTCTAGAAAAAGCTTATTTTTCTTTTCGTGGTTCTGAAGCCCTTAGGTATTTCCCCCCTTGCATCCACTATTTGACCCGAGCTAGAGATGGTGACGGCACAAGGAAGAATATTGTTGCAGAGCCTTTTCACCAGATTATCAACCCAGTTTGTATGGACTCAAATTCAGACCCTCACTGCAGATTAATCTGGCCAATAATCCAACCACGATATCTCCAAAGTGGATCACAATGCTTAATTTTGGAGGCTCCCTCCCCTCTTCCCCTTTGCAAGATGCTATAGGCTCCATCCAAAGCACACCTCCCACTGACTTCATTCATCATTGTATCAGGCCCTAAAGACTCCACCCTCAGTTCTCTGCAACTCTTGCTTTCAGCACAGGTAGGATTTGAATAGGATTCAACAACAATACAGTATGATTTGCTTTAAAACCAGAGAAATTCCATTTTTTATGTTCTTAATTCTTACATGCAATTCTGTTCATGCATATGAACACTCAAAGGAAAAAAATTACCTATCATTACATACAATTTGTGTTGGAAATGATTAAGAATAGATTTCCCTCCCCATCTCCATGTAATTTTTGGTCATGTTTAGCAACTGACAGCAGGTTCTGGTCATTAAATCCAGTGACAATTTTACGTTTATTTATTATACACGTTGTCTTTACAAATAAATTAATTTCATAGCTCTCGTTAATTACTTGAACTTTGCGAAATGATTTCCAATCACGTTATTAATCTCGAGCTATCTTCAGCAAACACGAGTAAATCATGAATCACCAGTAAGGAAACGTTGCTAAGTAATTTCTTTCTTTGAGTGATACAGTCACAAGGGTCAACCTTCCACTTGGTAGGTTTTAAGCACAACACATGTCCATTGGGGATTGGAGGGGGGCAGATTGAAAGGGTCCATGCAAGGGTTGGCAAGCCAGAGCCAGCATACTTAATGCATCTCTCTCTTGAATTGGGATTACACGTTGGCAGCTCGACTCAATGGGATGCTAAATAACTCAAGTGTACACATGTTGACAGCTGACTGGCAATAACTTCCGCTTCCTCCAGAAGATATGCCAGCATATATGGCTAAGATGCAAGCAGTGAGCGCTTCAGACTGACCCAGATTTATGCAATGCTGGCTTGCTCTCAGTGCCAGACTTTCACTCAGTCCATCCGTTTTTCCTCGCAAGATTACTTAATTTCTGCATAGTATTATAAAAAAAACAAACCCCACAACCAAACCGATTCACCCTTTGGAGACCTGACATTTCAATAGCTGCCATTTGGTGGTAAATTGCTAAGAATATTTGGACTTATTCTAACCACACAAAACAAAAACAAACATCAAAAATAAATATTGTCACCTTCCAACATTTATACCTGAAATGGGGAGTACAGTTCCTTCAGAGCCCTACGGGGGGCGCCCTCTTAATCACCACAGTCCACATCCCAGGTTCCGATCTGAAGCCCAGCAAAGGCAATGGGAGTCTTTCCATGGGCTTGGTTGGGCTTTGGATCATGTCTTAACCTGAGAGGTGGTACAAAGGCAGGTGCAGGACACTTGAGGTCGAGTCAAGGTACCAGCTGCTCTTCTCAGGGCCCCCAACAGACTCCATCAAGACAGGAGCTTTGGGAATGAAGGTCTTAAGCCCTGAGAGGAGCAGCGGATTCATTAGTCCACCTCCGGTGGCATGGATACGTCTCTGAGCCACCAGTCAGCGGGCTTCACCAGCTCAGCTCTGAAAGATAGGGACAGAGAGTTGATTATCTGATAGGTGCACCCTTGGGTCCCCACAGGATCATTGCACCCAGCCATGACACCTCTTTCTGACTGTGTTTAGACTGCAGCCAGATGATTCCTATATGGGGCCAACAGGATTCACGTACTGGAAGCACTTCCAAAATGTACTATTATGGGCTGGATCAAGGCTTGAGAAACCACAGCTCACCTGGGGGCACTGGGAGCCCAAGAAGGAATTTAGCCTGCCTCAGACATATTTCCCCCTGAGAGACTCTGAGGATGCACACACTGGAATGGCAGCTGTCATTATCACCTCATGGCTCTAAATCATGGCATCTACAGAGACACAAGGCAATAAGCTCAGCTGGTGTGAAATGGCTTGAAGGAAGCTATGCCAATTTTCAGCAGCCAAAGGTCTAGCCCCTGGATTTTACCACTTGACTTCTGCTTGGCAGGCAAGTCAGATAAAAGTACCATGTGTGGTGGAACATGACCACCACCTACTTCCATGGTGACAGCAGGACATCAACAGAATCCACCAGCAAGGGAAACGGTAGATTGTGAAAATATTTCCCTGATCCCTTTTTCTGCCATTCATGCAGACTCTATTTTACAGTTTTCCCTTTTTGGCCAATCACTGTGATGTCCGGACTCTCGGTCTCAATAGGTAGTTTCAATGACCTCAGTGGAGCTACAACTGTACAACCATTTCCACCAGCTGAGGATCTGGCCCACCGTATGTGTGTGTGTTCTAGATGGTCAAACCACAAAAACTCTGGCAAGTTCGGCAATGCATCCAGAAGTCTGGAATTCCAAAGTATCCAAATGCCTTAGCTCTGCAAAACTGGCCTGCGCATCTCATGAGAACAGGCGGTCTTGTCCAACTCCAGCTCCTTCCTGCTCCTGGCTGAGATGGGAATACTGCTACAACAGTCCCTCTCAGGATAGGTTGGCCTGTCCAGACCCAACAGGAAGTAGGAAATGCAGAGGTGAGAACAAAAAATAATTTAAAGATTTTTTTAAAAAAGTCAATTTTCCTGAAATTCCAAAAAGAAAAGAAAGAAAGAAAAGGTTTGAGTTGGCTTTACGCATGTACGCACACACACCAAGGCAGCCACAAACTTTCCTTTCCATCTCTACCCACTTAGAAGCCAACAGAATGGGCTTTTTTCTAAGATTGGACAAGCTAATACATTACATTCTGATACTTGCATTTTAATCCTAGGATTGTACTGGCTTCTCTCTTGTTACTTGGGCTCTGGGTAGGAGAACGGGAAGCCCGTTATGCACTCGCATCCAGTAGCTGTGAGTCATTTACCACAAAAGCATGCTGCATCATCAAGGAATCAGAAATAAGACCGCTCCGGGAGGGAACTTGCATACAATGACCCCAAGGGGGTTGGGTTTTATAACGAAGGGGCAAAACCATCAAACACCAGAGCTGTCCATGCTGTGTTCTTGAACTGTCAGACATGGCCAGTGGGACACGGCCAGTCTGGTGTGGGTGATTGGAGGGTGGCTAGATTTCTTTAAAATGAATGAGAAAACCAAACCCAACCAAGCAGTGATGGCAACACCCCGGGGCAGCTTGAACCACTGAAAGAAAATGGCATGTCACATTCCTCACCAGACCGTCTCATTTCACTTGGTTGAATTCCCTGGATCTTTGTGCTGTGGACACTCTCCGAGAGGCGAAACTACAGAGTACCATTTGTACATCCCCTTGTAAACTCTGAATATCCCCGTTGTTCAACAGGTCACAAGGACCGCGGGTCTGGAGAAGACTGCCTTCATTCACACCTTGGAGACTAGACCACTACGTAAATGTGTGTGATCAACAGCTGGCCACATCTGTGGTCCACTTTTCCCATATAACTTGACCTCTTGTTCCACAGAACAGAGAAACTGTATGAAAACCCTTGGCATCTGATTTGTGGCCTGGCATTCTTTTGCCCTCTAAATGCTCTCTGGGAGATGTCTTCTTCTTCTTCTTCTTCTTCTTTCTTTACATCACTGTCTCTCTTTCTTCTTCAACAACTACCGTGGGTCTGTCTCCATCATAAAGTCCAGAGCCATTCAGGTACTCCTCTTCTTTGTTGTACTGCTCTGGCCCAGAAGAAGGCATGGAGTTTTCGGAAATTGAGCCATTTTTGACATAGCCTGGCAAATTTCGGTGTCCGTTGAGGGCACCCGGAACAAGTCTCGTATTGAGATGTAGGGCAAGTGCCCCTCTGGTGGTTACATTAGTTATGCTGGTATGGGAGACCATGGGTCCATAACTGTATGTCGTGCTCCCACTTCGTGCTTTCCTTTTAAAGTCAAGGGCTAAAGTCCACCTGCTCCATGACTTCTTTATTTCAGCTTGAACCTGAAGAGGTGGAGAGAAAAGAGAGGGAAGATCATGAGTGAGGAATAAAGGGATGATGCTGGTGACTGGGCTGCAGAAGGAGGTAGTGTAGATAGAGATGATGGCTGGGGGATTACTAGTAGTAATGGGAAGCAAATGGGGACAAAGGGATAGTTATGCTGGATATCATGAACCACCCCTTAGTGGCAGGATAAATGAGACTTTGGAATGGTCTGCTGAGGGAAATGGTGGAAGTCCCGCTGGTTGCACCATTTACCACTCGACTGGGCCAAGTGGCAGCCTGGGATGGACTGGAGGGCCTGTTAGGTCTTTCCCATCTCTTAGGTGGCACAGCTCCCCTGACTTCAATGGACTTTGGATTGACTTTGGTGGACATACACTCATTTACACCACCTAAGGATCTGGCCCCATTATGTGTCCCTAACTGATTGGTGCTCTCTCTCCTTCACTTTATCTCTTACTGCTGTGGAAGATGCGTGACCTTCCCCTCCAGATTTCCCTTCCCAGCTGTCTATCTGGAGTCCTATCTGAGCCGTAAGCAACCAAACCACTGCCTGCTAGCTAAAATGCCGAAAGGCTCGGTCCCAAAAGAAGCTACCTTTCCTTACTGCAAACTCTTTTCAAATAGTATAGTAAACTTCTGATATATTAGGATCATTCAAATCATTTGTTCTCCATACCCAAGCCTATCCCCCCCCCCCAAAACCTAGCCAATCAACCAACCAGCCAACAACACCCAGCCCTTAATTTAGAGCCAGCATCGGTAACACACAGTGCAGTAATCAGTGGTCCCATCTGACCTTGGAATCTCTTAATCTTGAGTGAATGTTTTTACCATGCCACATGGCAGTTGCTATCAGGCCATGATGAATGTTTCTCCATTAGGCTTTCTTAGCTAGGCCACTAGTTTTGTTCTTTGCCTCGGGTCCCATTGCAGCATTAGTATTTAAATCAAGCACTTGGTCTAGACTAATATGGAGATTTAGGATGGCAGAAAGTCATTATCCAGATTGGAACATGGCCAGGATGCCTGGGTTAACACCTCTACTCTCCAGAAACAAACGCCCTTGGATTTTGAATGGCTACAAGTTCGCAAGGCCTGGGTTTTGTACCCTCTCCAAAGAATGGCAATATCAACAGCAAAACTGGAGAGATGATCTACAAGAAGAACGAGCGATCTGCAAAATATGCCTTATCATGAGAGATTGTGGGAGCTCAGTCTATAGGTAGTTTATCAAAGAGAATGTGAAGAAGCAAGCTGATCATGGTCTGTTAAGTACTGACACAGGGAGAAGGTACTGGGTAGCAGAAGGCTCTTTAATCTAGCAAAACAAGATCTAATGCCTGGAAGGTGAAGTCAGCAACGTTCCAACTGGAAACAATATGGCCATTTTTGACACAGACAGTAATTAACCGTTGGAATAGCTCACCGAGGGATGGAGTGGATTCTTGTCATTTGGAGTTTTTCCATTGAAACTGGATGTCTTTCTAAATGATTACGCTCTATTTCCAACACAAGCTACTGGGCTTGATGTAAGAATCACCAGGTAAGGTTCACTGGCCTGTGTTATGCTGCAGATGATGACAGTGGTCCATTCTGGCCTTAATCCCTTTGCATTTTACCAAAGGGTAAAATGGCAGCCTGGTGATTCAACTCCACCTGAGCGCTTCCTGCTGCTCCAAGAAGAACTACAAACAACAATCCCCCAGAGTGGGCATTGCTGATGATGCAGGACAAGAGTGTGAGTGACCAGAAGGATTAGAGGCTGGTGAAGTAACTCAACATTAACAAGTAGTGGGCTACATTTCAAGGTCAAGATCATAGTGGCACTTATATAGGCCTGTGTAGAGGGCAGCAGAGCTTCTCCCAGAAGCCACGGGAAGACTGGGCCAAGGCAGACACAATCTCACCTTGTCCATGAAGGACAAGAAGCAATGGGCTTAAACTGCAGCAAGGGCGGTTTCGGTTGGACGTTAGGAAAAACTACCTGACTGTCAGGGTGGTTAAGCACTAGAACAAATTGCCTAGGGAGGTTGTGGGATGTTCGTCACTGCAGGGTTTTTAAGAGCAGGTTAGACAAACACCTGTCAGGGATGGTCTAGTTATTATGTAGCCCTGTCTTGAATGCAGTAAACTGGACTAGAAGACCTCTCACAAGGTCCCTTTCAGTCCTACACTTCTATGATTCTGAGGGTACGTCTACACTACCTAGTGATCGATCCCCAATTGCTCTGCCATCGACTCCTGTACTCCACCATGGCGAGAGGTGGAAGTGGAGTCGATGGGGGAGCGGCAGCAGTTGACCCTGTGCTGTGAGGATGCGAGGTAAGTCAACCTAAGATACGTCTTAGGTATTCTCGTAGCTGAAGTTGCGTATCTTAAGTTGATCCCCCCAACTAGTGTAGACCAGGCCTTAGAGTGCCTACTTTGCTCCAGTCATTTGGATGGACCCGACAGCTCACCCTAATGTGTCTGATGTGTCTCACCCCCCCTGTGCTGAAAGAGTGGGGCCCTGGCCTCCCTGCCTCCAAAAATCTGCAAGCGGGGAGGAAGCGAGCAGATCTGGAGTTCCCCATAGCACAGGGATTGCTGCTGTGGGAGGCTCTTCCATCTGGGCTGCCAATAATCTTCCCCTAAATGGCTCAGATAGTATAGGCCTGATTCTCCACCATCTTGTCCCTGGTGCTCTCATTTACCCTGGTGCAGAGGGGGTGCAAAACGTTACCGGATCAGAACAGTCATGATTTACACCCAGTTTGAATGAATTCTCGTTTGGCAGCATTTTAGATCCGCTTTGCCCAGGGGGAAATGACTATGAAAGGCACAAAGCAGTGGAGACATTTCTATACCAAGGGTCTAAGTCTCTGCTTGCCTAACTCCATTGACCTCAGTAGAGTTAACCCCAGGAGGACTAGCTGAGTGTAGATATTTGGACTCTATTTCTAATGAAATAGGATCATTGAGAACCAAAGACACTCACCTCTCCATTGCAAAAACAGTATATGATGGCAACCAAGAATCCCTGGAAAGAAGATGAAACAACATATTAACATTTATCCTGCTGCATCTCAATGTCTATTCACTGACACCGTGGCCCAGATCCACATAGTTTCACTGATGGCAATGGAGCAAAACCAGCTTACCCCAGCTAAAAACCAGTGCAAACCAGGAAAACTCCTATTGTCTAGCAGCCTACAAGAAACAGGTGACCATTAATGACTGTCCTCCAGGCTATCAGCTAACCCGCATTTAACGCATCCTATGTGCACTGGCTGGCTGGCACATCTGTTCTGGGCTGTGGCAGAAAATGAACATTTGTTTCCTGTTGCAGATGTCCTGTAAAGGCTTTGGAAGAGCAGTTGCTCACCACTGTCCCAGGTCATTTTCCTGCCCTGGGAAAATTTTTCAAGCTTTCAGAAATGTTCCTATTTCGCATCAGGATGAACCCAAAACCTTTAGAAATTTTTTGCAGAAAAACCTAGAGCTCTAAGAAGATCCCCTAGCTCAAGTGATTAGGGCCCTTTGCGGGGAGGTAGAAGTCCGTTCAAATCCTTACTCTGAACCAGGCAGAGCAGGGACTTGCACCTCAGTCTGCTAGGTCCCAAGCGAGTGCGTCCTAATCTCAGTCTGCTAGGTCCTAATCGCTGCGTCTATGGACTACTCTGGGGTGGAGCTTTCTCACACATGCTTGTTGGAGCTGTTCCACTTTGTATAAATAAATATTTGGGGGGAGGTGGGGAGAGACTGACTGCATAGCCCAGTGTTCGGACAGTCAGTTGGGATGTGGGAAATCCAGGATCAGATGAGATGAGAACCCAGTTTTGGGACCCAGTCATGCATTCCCTTTGCACTCAAATGGGAGTTCTGGGTGTGCAAAGAACGAAAGGCCAGGTCCTCCCATTTCAGGTCCCGTCTGAATCTGCACTTCCCTGCCCTTTGATCCAGAGTTTGTCTGAGCCCAGCTCTACCTTCCCAGCTTCATGTCAGCCATGCTAGTCAGTCACTTAAGATTTTAAACCATGGATCAGTAGGTTGTCCTTAAGGGAGGGCTGTGCAGTGGGCATGTAACACAATTTTCATCATATGGCTGCACTCATTTTGGCTAAAAGATCCCAATCCTGCACTCAGATCTGCATTATGCCCCTGCTTATCCTCGACTTCAGTGGGCTGCTGCAGTTCATGTTAGCGGATCTGTTTGTAGGACTACGATAAGCTACTTTGAGGCCACCGGGTTTAAATCCATGCAGCTCTCTTGACCTATCCCAGCTGAAGATCCAACCTGGATCTCAAGGGCTTTTGGTGGACAAATGATAAAATTATTTCCCTGACACGTTGTCCCAAAGTACCCTAACACGGTTTGCAAATACACACTACACCCAGCACCAAAGTAGAGCCATTAAGTCTTGGGAGTGTAACTTGGCACCTACTAAAAATCCTTTCCCCCAAAACAGAACACATCTGATGTCCATCTTCCGTCCCACCGAACACCACTACTTTGCTCTTAAAATGCCCAGAAAGTTTAACAGGGTACGTTACCTGGAAAGAGTTGAACAGCATCTCATAGTGCATTTGAACTTGCCAAAGAATCCCCGACACCTCTGTATATGGCAAAGCCATGAAAACTGTATAGTGAACTCCAAACAGAGGCATAAGGACAAGGGTAGATTTCAGCAGCTTCCTGTAGGAACAGGAGAAGGAGAGAAACACATGGAGAAAGTCAAGAGTCTGAATTATCCTCTGGGCCTCCTTAGGGTCTGGATTGAGGTGAAGTGGTGAAATGGTGCTGGGGGGAGGGGGAAGCTTGCACAGCTGCTGCCCATGATGTGCCTGATTGTGAATATCCAGTCTCCAGGCCAGTCAAGCCGGTACCTTCCACCAGCAGTAAAAATCCCTGGAAAGGAAGGATGGTGCTGCTCCATATCTAGGGCCAGACTGCCTATGCTCAGATGGGACAAGAAGGGAGACTTCCAAGACTGCGCCATGCTTGCATCCCTTGGGGCACTAGCATCCTTGGTGGGGGATGGAATGGAGGAGATCAGCAGAGCTGGATGGATGCTGACCTCCCTGGTAGGGGCACAGGAGAGAGAATGCTATGCCATCCTATGGAATGGGGCAGCTTGTCTGCTATCACCATGTGTTTCCCTGGGGTGGAATGTGCGCTGGAGGTCCCCTAGCCTAGATGGAGGTGCAACTCCACCTCAGCAGGAGCCTGTGCACCTTAGTTACAACCCAGACCCTAACATTTGGCTGGGTTCATCCCTCGAATCCCACTGACTGGAAATGATGCCAATCCAGGGATTGAAACAACTGCCAATGGTTACGGCAATTGCCAAATGGAGGCAATTAGCGAGGGGGCAGCGTTGCCAGGAGGCCTGGTGCTTTCGCTGTCCAATGACTGACAATCTCTGTGAGGATTAAAAAATCAAAAGAGCTGAGCCTGTCCAAGCTATAATAAATAGCAAGCCTCTCCAAGTGAGAAATAAACAAACAGATAAGTCTCGGCTGTGACATGGCAACAGAACAAACCTTTGCATTTTGATGCCAAATTCCAGCCCCACTTTCCAATGAAACAGAATCGTAGGACTGGAGGGACCTCGAGAGCTCATCAAGTCCAGTCCCCTGCACTCACGTTAGGACTAAGTATTATCTCACTTTTGGATACTCTTCTGGGAGCAAGCCGGTAGGGGCGACCTTGGAACCCTGCTTTTCAGTGATATCGCCCTGAATTATTTTGCTCTCTCTCCTCTGGATATTGTGTGCTGAATCATTTGAACTTGAGCCTACAAACACCCTGGGAGTTCTCTAGCTGTGGAGGTCTCTCAGCTATTTACTTTCACAGTCAAACTTTGACTACATTGCAAATATGCTTCATTGTCAAGGGGAAAGGAACAGAAAAAACCCAACCCCAAACAAACAAGAAAACCCAAGACGAAACTCCAAACTTCCTGTGAATAGTTGGGAATCTTTCTTCACTTGAGCAATCGCCAGCCAAGGTTTTGAAAACAAGGGAGGGAAAAAGTATAAAAAGAAAGGATGGGATTTTATGGTACAGCCTTTTGCTTTATGCCATTGGTTCAAAGTCAACCCAGGGCGGTAGTGATTGAAAATCATTATTATTAATTATTTGGGTCACGGTAAAGGACAGAGGCACTATGGTGGTGAGATCGGGACCCTATTGTGCTCGGCTCTGTGCAAACATAACATAAGAGACAGTCCCTGAACTCTAAATAGACAAGGCAGACAAAGAATGGAACTTCCCCAGCATCACACAGGAGAGCCAGGACTAGAACTGAGGTTTCCTGAGTAGTAGCCCAGAGCCTTAGCCACTGGGCCAGCCACTTTTCCTACCCAACGGTTGTTGGTGGTCTCCTCAATAGATGGTGCAGGTGTCCATATCACAAATACCACTGTCATCGTTAGCCCTTGATGGTCATGCCAGCAGAGAGGCCATGAGCCAAACTGACCTTGGAGGCTGAACTCCCCTCAGCCTATCAGCTGGTCCCTCCAGGCTAGGATCTACTCTCTTTAAGGGAGCACTGAGAGGAGGCTTGCAATGCCCCTGGTACGCCACGCGCTGCTGCTCCATGGGCACTCTGGCTGGCTCGTGGAAAGCAGAAGGAGAAGGGCAGTGACTGAGGCTGCATGTGCGCTGTCCCTGCTCTGCAGGTGATTATGAGACTTTGATCTCCCAGGCTATCAAGCCCATCCCGTGCTTCTCGCTGTCTCATGCTGGAAGGGAAAGGAGACTCACCTGTACTGTTGTCTCGTATCACACCTCCCTGCGTTTGTCTCCCGTAGCTTGGTTGCTAGGACTCGGATAATATTGATAAAAAGAATAAAATTTACCTGGAAAAGAGAAAGATTTTTTTTTAATCACAAAACCAAAACCTGCGGCTCTACCGGATCGAGATGGCGCCTTTCCCCAGGGCCCTGTCCGCCCAGATGTTTCCAGAGAGCATCCTCAGCTCCTACTGGAGGAGGTGAAGGTACACAGCTCCTTCGCGAGCAGCTCAGCAATTTAGCAAGCTCAGGCCAACTGTGTCTGAGCTGAGTGCTCTCTGCTTGATCTTGTGCCATGGAGATAAGGAAGGGCCACCCCTTTTTTCTGGTCCCTAGCAGACCTCATCACGTCCAGCCTTGTTATTGTCTCATGGTGGTAACAGGCACGTGTGACAATATCTAGGCAGTTAAGGTGAAATTCACTCCTGAGCAAGGAGCCCACGCAACGGCCACGGCGCTATTTAAAAACCATGTGACTAGAGGGAATTTTTCAACGGAAAATGCTGATTTGTCCAAACCAAAACTTTTCCTGGAAATGTATCGGTTTCAATGAAGCTTTCCCAGCTGCAGGATGGAACTTTTGATCAAAACTAGGGGCAGAACCAAAACCATACCCCAGAATAGCCAATAGCTAGCCCCTCACCTGGGAGATGGAAGACCGAGGTTCAAGCTCCAATTCCACATTGGGACGAGCACGGAGGCAAAACCTGGTCTTCCCCATCCCACTCCAATGTCCTGTAGAGGCTATAGAGTCGATTACTTTCTTTGTCCCAATGAACATGTAGTTAGTTACATACAATAGAACAGCTCCAATAGGAGAGATTGAAAGAAAGCCTGACACCAGAGCCCAGCGGGGTAGGGCATTTGCCTGGGGTATGGAAGACCCACATTTAGGAAGTTCTCTTCTTCACCCCAATGCGAAACAACAACAGATTTCAAAACCTGGGAATTGTTCACAAAGTGGAATTTTTGTTTTCCGGCCAGCCCTACTTCAGTGAGATTTGATGGGGCACTGGGGTGAATTTTGTCTTTCCACCATGCTCATCACTAGGGCCCTACCAAATTCACAGTCCCTTTTGGTCAATTTCACGGTCATGGAATTTTAAAAATCGTAAATTTCATGAGTTCAGCTATTTAAATCTAAAATTTCAGGGTGTTGTAATTGTAGGGGTCCTGACCCAAAAAGGAGTTGTGTGTGAGTGTGTATGTGTGGGGGGGTTGTGGCACTGCTATCCTTACTTCTGCACTGCTGCTGGCAGGGTGCTGCCTTCAGAGATGGGTGCCCAGCCAACATCTGCCGCTCTCCAGCCACGCAGCTCTGAAGGCAGCACAGAACTAAGAGTGGCAATACTGTGAGCACCCTAAAATAACCTTGTGACCCCCCTGCAACTCCCTTTTGGGGCAGGACCCCCAATTTGAGAAATGCTGGTCTCCCCTGTGAAATCTGTATAGTACAGGGTAAGAACTCACAAAAGACCAGATTTTGTGGTGGGAGACCAGATTTCACGGTCCATGACGTGTTTTTCATGACTGGGAATTTCGTAGGGCCCTGCTCATCACTGAGCATGTGAGTGCCTCAAAATGGCTGAGAGAACAGAGCCTTCCAAACAGGTGACTGAAATTCATCCTGAAGTCTGAATGACTCTTTCCCTCCCCACACACCAGTCAGATGCCTCTATATCAGGACTGAGGCCTGCTGGCAGGACACGGTGGAATGGAAGCAACTTGCACAGCCTCTGCCCTTGCTGGACCTACTCTGTGCATAGGGGTTTTAGTCTCTGTGGCTGTCAAGCCAGCATCTTTCAACAGCCTTTAAAGCAAGTTCAAAGATAGATCACGAGATATGTGGTGCGAAGGAAAAGCAATAAGGAAAGGGATAAAGTATCTCCATGGGCTAGGGCTCTGTGTGAAACTGGTCTACATTTTTCTGCAGAGTTTATTACTTGGGCATAGGGGCCCCAGCAGAGATCAGGGCCCCCTTGTGCTAGGGGCTGTGCAAAGGCACAGAATAAGAGGCAGTCTCTGCCCTGAAGAATGTGCAATCTAAATAGATAGGACAGACTACACAGGGAGGAACGGGAGTCTCATTACTGCCATTTTACAGATGGATACACAAGGCACAGAGAAGTAACTGGCAAATCTTGGCCCCATAGAAATCAATGAGAGTTTTGCCATTGACTTCAACGGAGCCAGGATTTCACTCTTAAGTGACGGACCCAAGGTCACACAGAAAGTCTGGGCAGAGGCAGGAATTTCACTCAGAAATCTTGACTCCTAACTCAGCGGCTATGCCACAAGGCCATCCTTTCTCTCCAGCTAACAATGGCCAAACCATTAGACCGTCTATGACTTGTGTTTGTTTCTTTGCAGTCCTTCACCAAACCTTGTGCTTCCTGATTGCTACTGTATCGCCATAGAACCCGTGATCCCAATATGAAGGAAACAAGCAAGGTAATTCCTCTTGTTTTTCCTAAAACACCAGCAAAGCTTTGAAGGAAATGCAAACAACTGAATGACTTCTGAGTTACCAGTGGAGTGGAGCCCCTTAGAACCAGAACTGTCTGAGAGCTCATCCAGAAAATGCAAAACTTTGTCCAGAAACAGATGAAAAGCTAGTGTGGGGGCTGAAAAAGCAGACAAGTGTGCAATAGGAACTCACACAGACTAAATGGAAACAACCCACAGAATATGTTTGCACGATAAATAGTTGCATTTGTAAATAGCCCTGTAGAACCTCATGAAGAAGCATTCTCTTTACAAGGAGAAACATCTATTCAGCCCTTTGTCGTCTACTAACTGGGCTTTAAATTAAATTCAATGGGGTTGCTGGCAATCAACCATTTGAACGATCTGAAGTGTGTCTTCCATCCTACAGTTTTATTTCAAATGATCATTGTGTGGTCTTGGCACTTTGCTCTTTCCAATGCACAGAAGGAACCACCAGAGCCAGTTGGAGAATTTCCGTCGATACAAAATTTTAACAAGGGAAGAAAATAAAAAATAATTTTCTCGATCAGCTCTGCTAATTACATTTACTTCAGAAGGTTCCATATGCAGAAGGCCTGAGTCTCCTCTCACCCACACTCCTCTGTCACGTGATCTGTAATTCAGAAGAATCAAGGCCATTCGGACTGATTCAAAGCTCTCTGAAGTCAGTGGAAAGACTCTTTAATGCAATATGCACAGAGAATTGTATGCATGCACAGAGGAGAACTAAAATGTGTGGGTAGAGAAAATCTCTCTCTTTATCATCTATCTGTCAGAAGACAGGGTGGAGGGGAAAAGTTGGGAAAGAAAGAGGAGATCATTTATACAATACAAATTGAGACAGATTTCCCAGGATAACTAAGGCCCTAATCTTGCAAACACGAAAGAACCAACATTACTTCCTTCAGGTGAGTAATCCCATCTGTATAATGCTGACCATACCTCATAAGAGGTCTGGGTCATTCCTAGACCTTGATGTTTTCCATTCTATAACTCCGTCTGCTGCCCTCTGTGTGGGAGGCTGAGCTGCTCTCCTACTGATGCTTGGTTAATGACACTTGGAACCGATCAGCAGTGATTGTTCCGAGACTTGCTATTCCCCTCCTTTAACAAGCTGGGTCAGGGAGTAAATCCAGCATAAGCACTAATGGCAGTCAAAATGCAAAGGTTCAGTTTGCACGAGGACCCTACATTGGAAGGTTTAACTGGATCTTCTTTGGTGCAGACGCTTGGCAAGATCATCTTCTTCCTCTCCTGGGCTTTCCGGTACCATGTGGGCTGGAAACACCTTGATTCTTAGAGGACAGGAGCTCAGCACTGTCTGAAAATCAGGCCCCTTTATGACTTGTCAAGTAAACCCCCACAGAGTTGAGCCCTTACCCCAAAATCACTAGTCACTTTTGCAAATCCTGACCTATGTGTTTATTTTATTAAAAAGTTTGGGATCACAGGCTGAGTTTCTTTCTTCCAGCTGCCTAGTTTGGGCTCCCATCCCCCTCGCCACCCCAAATCAAAATCCAGTACTCACCACAATAGCTACCAGGAGGGGCACCTGAAAAATCCATTGTAAATTGCTGGCACTCAAGTCCCAACACCTAGGAAGAGATTGGCACCACATCAGTAAATCCTCATCTGCCCAGGCAAATAGCCTCATTTTCCTGTTTGCAACTCAGTGCTGAAAACAGGAACCCTGCAATGTCCTATGCGTGTGTGGAACCAACCCAAGCCCAACCCAAGCCATCCCTTCCCCCTCCCATCAGCAATGATTGGCATCAAAACCAGCCTCCTTTTATCCCTACCATCTGCTTTTAAAAGCCAATTTTAAATGTATTTAAAATCTTAGGCCCAGATCCTCAAAGGTATTTAATGCTTAAGATGCATTGAGATCTGTGGCAGTTGGGCATTACTCTCGGCAGATTTCAGGGACTTGCTCTTTTTGCATCGTCAAGGCTGGTGTCCGATCCTCTTTGAACTGGAATTCTCCACCCCAGTCTGTAATGGCCAGGGTTCAGCAAGCTACATTGGGATTCATTTCCTTAGGCCTGGGCCTACACACAGAAGCTGCACAGATCTAACTAAAGGTGGGATTTTAAACAAGTACAAAGCCCTGTGTGGACAGACTTAAACTGGTTTAAAACTGGTTCCATCTTGTGCTTGCAAATTTACCCACACTAGTTGTTAATTACACAGGTCTAAATTAAAGTTAAGAGTGTCCACAGAGGGCTTTAACTCAATTGGCTTTAAAAATCAGACCTACAGTTAACGCTTTGTGTGTAGACAAGGCCCATGTACATGCTGCGGTGGTAGAAGTTTCTGCCCTTGCTGCCCTGCAGGATGAAGCCCTCTGTTGAGAACAGCTGCATGTATCCCCTCCTTCTGCTCTGCCAACGAGCCTCAACCCTACCCTGCAGGAGGTTCATTCTCCTTGCCTAGCCAATCCTTGGCCTCTCTACTTCGGCTGCCAATAGCGGGAGGGAGCACTGATTGAGGTGGTGGGTTTTCTGATGTGGTCACCTCCCCTCTGCTGGGAACTGGACGGAGGCCTCCAAAGATATTTGATATAGGCCACTGAGTGAGACTGTCCGATGGTAATCATGGCTTCACACGCTGCTGTGGACTGGATGTGCTCCAGCAATCAAGAAATGAAAGGGTCTGTAGCCCTCTGTTGGCACCACACCACAGCAGTGGTTTTCACGTCCGGGGCCAGCGTCTGCTCCGTGCGGATGTTTGAGGAGAGCAAATAAAAGGGGTGGCGAAAGCCCCGACAAGAACGGAAGGTTTTTACACGGCGTGTGTTCGCAAATGCCCCGCGTCAAGGTGACGAGGGATATGTTGTCCTCTAATGAGCTGAGTGGTAATCTAAGTCACAGGCACTAGGGAGTGCAGTTAGGTTACGCTGTGCTTGTCGGATAGGAACGTACTGGTAGCAGGGTTTCAGATATGGATGTATATCGTGCATGTAAACTATGCTGCACAGCTACTGTATCTGGGGCTACAGCCATCCCCCACCTGGTGCCCGGAGAGCCTGTGACTGAAAAGGTGGCAAATTTCAGAAGTCAGCGCTAAGTATGTTCAGCTTGTGCTGAAATCGGCAGTGGGTTTGGGGGTGAGGGGGCTGAGTGTAGAGTAGCTGCCTTGTTCAACTGGCTAGTGTGTTAGACCAACACCTGTCTGGGATAATCTAGGTATGCCTAATCCTCAGCATGGGGGGATGGGTAAAATGACCTCTCAAGGTCGTTTTCAGCCCTGCATTTCTATTACTCTGTGTGCAGTACTGATCTCAAAAGGTTTCAATGTCTGTAGAGTAGTGGTGGGCAACCTGTGGCCCGCATGCGGCCCGTCAGGGTAATCTGCTGGCGGGCTGCCAGACAGTTTGTTTACATTTGCACGGCCGCCCGCAGCTCCCAGTGGCTGCGGTTCACCGTTCCAGCCAATGGGAGCTACAGTCTACAGGTTGCCCACCACTGCTGTGGAGGAAGGAGAAAAAGTACTAAATACGATGAAGAATGGTAAAGCAACTGGTGAAGACGAAATAAGTGCTGATATGTTCAATGCAGCTGGAGATACCAGAATCAAGTGACTTCACAGGTTGCTACGTGTTTGCTGAGATCAACCTAGGATATCCAATGAGTGGAGAACAAGATTGACTGTGCCTCTTTGGAGGGGTAAGGGTGATAAAAATGATCCAAACACCTATCAGGGGCATCACCCTGTTAAGACAGCCTCTTAAAGTCCTTGAGAGAGTTTTGGGAGGCCAGGTGGAGGTGCAAGGTTGAGGAAAACATAGGAGAGGCGCAACATGGCTTTGGGAAGGGAAGGAGTACCATAGACATAGTATTTGCATTGAGACGTAAGTTTGACAGCATGGTAAATGGAGGGCATAACTGCTATGTAGCATTTATTGAGCTTGAGAAAGCATCCAGCAAACAAGAGGAAGTACTTTTTCACATGCTGCACAACTAATCTGTGGAACTCATTGCCATGGGATGTTGTGAGGGCCAAAAGTATATAACTGGGTTCAAAAAAGAACTGGATAAGTTCATGGAGGATAGGTCCATCAATGGCTATTAATCAAGATGGTCAGGGAAACAACCCCATGCTTGGAGTGATCCTAAACCTCTGATTACCAGAAGCTTGGAGGTGAAGATAGGGTGGATCACTCTATAATTGCTCTGTTCTGTACACTCCCCCTGAAGCTCTGATATGGGCCACTGTTGGAGACAGGATATTGGGCAAGATGGACCATGGTGTGACCCGATATGGCAGCTCTTATGACTCGGTTCTTCAGGGGTTGGTGTTCGGAGTATTGAGATGGGTGGGAGGGGAACTTCGAGAAGTGGAGATGATAGAGGAACTGTATTGAGGGTCAAGAGCTAAGGGGGTAACAAACATGGAATTTCAGAGATTTTTGAGGTGACAGGGGGATTGAGACAAGGTAGTGTGCGGAATCCGCTTCTCTTCATCTTAATTATGGAGTTAATTAGTCAGAGAATGAAACCTGTGGAGACACAGAGAAAACTAATGTGTGCTGATGACCTCGCCCTTTTGGCTGACAGCAAAGAGGAAGTGGTAAATATGGTATCAGAGTGAGTTGAAGCCCCACTCACCCAAATCTGTGGTTGAAGACCATGGTTTGAAGGTAAACACATAGAGAACAGAAGTTATGCAAGTAGGGAAAATGGGAGTAGAGCTGTCGATTAAAGTTTCTGGAGAGAAGCTGAATCAGAAGAAAGAAGCTGTGTGCTTGGGAAATACACATACTGCTGCTGGGGAACTGAACAGAAGAACTCAGTGTGCATGGGCGGCACTGAAAAAGACGGCAGGAGTATTGTGGGACCGGCAATTAAGTAACAAACTGAAAGGAGAAGCGGGTGCTGCCTATGTTTGTCCCTGCCTGCTCTATGGTTTGGAAACTCTGGGTCTTGTGAAGCTGGAAGAAAGGATGATACAGGTAGTAGAAAGTAATATGCTGAAGAGAACAGCAAGCAAGCGGAGGGTAGCGAGTATTCATGGAAGAAATTAGGGAGAAAGTACTTGGGACTCTCAATGATAGATAGGCTGGAGAGCACACATTTGATGAGGGTTGGACAACTGATAAGAATGGGAGGCAAACAACTAGCATAGAAAGCATGGGAGGAATGAGACAGTCAGAAAGGACATGGAAGATCAAGGATACGATGGAAAGACTGTCAAGAGAAGTTTGTAGATGAAAAGATTGTAACTCCAAGACCTACGAACCCACACCATGGACCGGAATGAGTGGTGAAGAACCATGGGTGCCTCCGACCCCATGTAAATGGGAAAAGGAGTTGAGAAGTGAGTGAAGTGCAGTACTGACCTCTGCTGGATGGGATTGGAACTACTCAGATGTGTGTCATAAGCCGTGTAATGTACAAGCAAATGGATGATTCTCTTTTAGCTCAAGTGTTAGAGGTCTATGCTTGTGGAGTGCAATACCGACAGACCCCGGTCATCATTGGAGGATCGAACCTGGGACCTCTGGAGCTAAACGCATGAGCGTCAAGCCACATGGCAATTAGCTAAGGTTGTAGCAAACATATTAATTTGTAAGTGGTCTTTATGACACTAGAAGGGACAGATCACCACATCCAGGAGGTGTGTGGGTTACACAAGAATCACAGTTCTATCCCTAAGCTTGATGCAGACTTTCAAGCGGTCCCAATGTGCCAGCTGTGAAGTTGTAGGTGACCACAAATTGGTTAAATTATTTCAAACTAAAGACAAACCAGGAGAGTTACAACAGAACTACAGAATTTCATCCCCTGCTTGGTGCATTTCCTGCCTTCATTTTAAGATTGCTTCAGATCTGCAGCCTTATCTAGTCCCCACCCTCCCCCGGGGTCCATAATTCATCTACAAACCTCTCGGTTCCAAAAATGCGGCAAAGACATAACACAAGAACAGGAGAAAAACAACACAGAATCCAACCAAGACTTACTCTGTGTCCGCTAGATTGGCCCTCACACTGGCCCACACTGTGACAATTACAGCAGGGAGTCCTGAAAACAAGAAAGTACTCATCAGTATATACAATGTATAGCAAACTCAGTCTATTGTAAGTCAACTGCAGAGAGCTAGAGCTGGCGTGAGGGACTTTATTTAGAGGATTCCCCCATGGTTCAGGTATAGTTTGGAGCCTAAGGGCTCAATGCTGGTTTCACCTCCAACCTCAGGGAACCACAGATCTGGAAACAGACATAGACCCATATTCCAAGTCTTGGTCCTATCCAGAACACCAAATACAAATACCTCGTAGTTCTGGGGAAGTTTGGATCCAGAGACACAAATGACTCAGGACGATTATTATTTATATTACAGTAGCAATGATCTTACTAGAGGCCTTAACTGAGATTGTGATTCCATTGTGTTGGGCGCTGTACATACCTATAAGAAGAGACAGCCCCTGCCCCAGAGAACTCACCGTCTAACTTGGCAAGAAGGAAAAATGGCAGGAGACGAGTGACTTGCCAAGGGTCACGCAGCAGGACAGTGACGGGACCAGAACTCCTGATTTTCAACCCACTGTACCACACTACCTCTCGGGATAGAAAGCATCCTAACCTTTACATATCCATCGCACACCTATCCAAGATGGCTGCTGGCAATACTCTCAGACAGTGACAACCTCTCTACCTTCCACTGCTTCTGAGGCTCTGAGACCTTCTCAAAAGTTTGGGAAGTAGGGCAGATCAGTTTGGATATTCATTTGTGTTTACAGCCCTGTGGCACCCAGAGTCAGATAGGATTGCAGCCTGGAGTTGGGGAAAGTACGTGTGCTGCCATTTTGGGTTACAGGTCATCTGGAGGCACTAGGCTCTGTGTGGCTATATAGTGCACATAGCCCTCTCACTGCTTCCAGCTGAAACTGGATTCAGCAGAAATCCTATGGGAGAGAGCATCTTTGTGATAGTTCCAGGCTGATCTCCAAACCCAGGAGATAAATAGAGCTAGCTGAAAACTTTCCAGTAGAACCGTTTCAAGTTGGAACATGCTGATTCGACAAAAAATGAAACGCATTGCAGGAACATATTGAAGTGATCAAAACTTCTTTCCGCATTAGAGTTTTGACTTTTATGTTCATATAATACATAATCAAAATGATAAAGTCAAAACAAAATATTTTTGGAATATATAATTTTGCAAAAGTGCTGAGGTTTTGACTTTTTGTCCCGATTCAGGACAAAAATCTCAGCATTTCCTATGGGACATAAATTCCCAACTTTGACCAGTTCTGGAGATAAGTATTAACTACGGAAATTAGGGGGCTGGGAGATTTTGCTGGGCAAGTCATTCAGATCACCAGGGTTCCTTCCTCTAATTTGATGCATCTTGACATTTTACCCATCATGATTTGATCACTGGTTTGATCAAAGAAAGAGCTTTTTCTCAACTGGGATGGAGAAGAAGCTTCTTCCATCTGCCTCATGAATTAACGAAAGCTAAAACAACCCTGGGAAAATATGTTTAAAGCGTAACGGCCAAATTCATCTCTGGTGTAACCACACTTATTTCAGTGGGTTTACACCTGGCATTACACCCTGTAAGAGCTAAGACAATATTGAATAGAATATATTCTTTTTTTGAGTCCAATTCTAATTTCTTTTTGCACCCAAATCCCCCATGGACTTCCCTGAAAATGCAGGATTGGGCCTACAAGAGCTTCCACAAATGGTAGTAAAATAGCCCCTTTCAGAAAACAAAGAGGATGGTTATTAATAATATAAACTCTGTGTAGATTCTATGCTCTGTGGGGCCCAATTCAGGAAAGTCCTTCTGTCTGTGTTTAACTGTAAGTCCATTGCAGCTCCATTGAAGTCCATGGGACGTTAAACATGTGCTTAATTTGGTGCTAAGTGCTAGGTGCTAAGGACTTTCCTGAATGGGGCGTGGGGCAGAGACTAAGGGCTTGGCTACACTTGCGAGTTACAGCGCATTAAGGGAGCCCCGGGCGCACTAGCTCACTCCCCGTCCACACTGGCAAGGCACGCAGAGCGCTCTGACTCCGCGGCTGGTCCGCTCCTGGTACTCCACCTCGGCGAGTGGAATAACGTTTTGTGCGGCCCCGCTGGAGCGCTGTGGCTGCCAGTGTGGACGCCCTGGTCTGTTAGTGTGCTCTGATCGGCCTACGACCTTGTCTACATTTGCCTGTGCTTGCGGCAGCATGCAGGGTCCATGTAACTACACGCCACAGGGAAAGGCAGGCTGTGTCCACACGCACTGGGGCATGTCGCTACAGGCACTGGGGAAAGGCTCTGGAAACGGGGAGGCGGCGGGGAAAGGCTCCGGCAGTGGGGAGGCAGCAGGACACTCCACGGCTAGTCCTAGCAATGCAGACAGGGGAGGCAGCGTTTGGGTGTGCAGAGAGCTGGTTGACATTTTTCAAACACAATATTTTTAAACAAAAAAGATGATCTTTTCTCAATATCAGCAATTTTCATCTATCTAATCTATCTATCTACCCCCATACACCCCTTCTATCTACCTATCTACCTACCCCCATACACTCCCTCTCTCTCTCTCTCTATCCCACACAATCTATCTATCTATCTATCTATCTATCTATCTATCTATCTATCCCCATACACCCCCTCTATCTATCTGCCTACCCCCATACACTCCCTCTCTCTCTCTCTCTACCCCCATACACTCTATCTATCTATCTATCTATCTATCTATCTATCTATCCCCATACACTCCCTCTATCTATCTACCCCCATACACTCCCCCCCTCTACTCCATACAATCTATATCTATCTATCTATCTATCCCCATACACCCCCTCTATCTATCTATCTATCTACCCCCATACACTCCCTCTCTCTCTCTCTCTATCCCACACAATCTATCTATCTATCTATCTATCTATCTATCTATCTATCCCCATACACCCCCTCTATCTATCTACCTACTCCAATACACTCCCTCTCTCTCTCTCTCTACCCCCATACACTCTATCTACCTATCTATCTAACTATTTATCTATCTATCCCCATACACCCCCTCTATCTATCTATCTACCCCCATACACTTCCTCTCTCTCTCTCTACCCATACAATCTATCTACCTACCCCCATACACCCCCTCTATCTATCTATCTACCTACCCCCATACACGCCCTCTCTCTCTCTCTCTCTACCCCATACAATCAATCTATCTATCCCCATACACCCCCTCTATCCACCTATCTACCTACCCCCATACACTCCCTCTCTCTCTGTCTACCCCATACAATCTATATCTATCTATCCCCATACACCCCCTCTATCTATCTATCTACCCCCATACACTCCCTCTCTCTCTCTCTCTCTCTACCCCCATACACCCCCTCTATCTATCTATCTATCTATCTTTAAATTTTCAATTTTTCAGAAAAAAAAACCCTGGAAAACAAAAAAACTAGGGTTTTTAATTACTTTTCATTTTCTCCCCTTCTTCCCCATTCTTTCTGAATGGCAAAATGGAAAAAGGAAAAGGGGAGGGAGAGGAAAAGGGGGGAAAAAAGAGAAAATTGTGGGATTGGGGGAAAGAGAAAGTGAAAAATTTAAAAAGCAAATAAGTTTGAAAACAAACGTTCAAAACAGAAAAATGTTGATTCAAAATCAGACACATTTTGAAATTAGTTCCCTTTTCAAATGTGTAAAATGAAAATTACTTTGACAACATTTTGTATAATCCCCCCCCCCCTTTTTTTTTTGACCATCTCTATTTTACATTGGTGTAACGGGAACAGAATTTGGCCTTGCAGGTTCTTTCCAAAGGCCGCAGCTATTTGTTCAAAATTATTTAAAAGAAAAAAAGAAATCTATGCTATAAAGAACTTGCTGGAGGATTCTCTGCTCCTTGAAGTCTTTAAACCACGATCTGAGGACTTCAATAGCACAGACATAGGTGAGAGGTTTTTTGCAGGAGTGGTGGGTGAAATTCTGTGGCCTGCATTGTACAGGAGGTCAGACTAGATGATCATAATGGTCCCTTCTGACCTAAATATCTATGAATCTATGAATCTATAAGAACCTCGACCCTTGGGTTCCCTACAGTATCTCTTTAACTCCACTTTCCTCTGGGTCTCTACTGGCCTCTCCAACCAGTAGCTATTATGGTCATCATGTGGATGGCCAATTTGAGATCCCTTGGGACTGATTTTAAGTGGAGCCAAGCTCCCACAGCTCCCAGGAACATCAATGGGAGCGGTGGGTGCTCAGCCTACTCTAAAAACCAGGCACAATGTCAGGACCCAGAATTAGAAGACACTCTCAAAAACTTGGCCGTATGTGTCAGCCTGCAGGTGGCGCTGGCAGTGAAAGTCACAAGGGATGAACTGTTCTTGCATTTGGCAAACCAGCCAAGAAAGGGCAAGCCTCACAAAAGCAATTTGGTCTCCCTCATGCACTCGTGCACCCGTCCACCCACACCCCAGCCCTGCATGTGAAGCCACAGGTAGAGTCCCCCAGGGTGGCGATGCTGTAATTGACTTCTACAGTATCCACATTGTATGCGCTGTGCATGTCCAATCAATACACACAGTGTGTACAATGCAGGTTCTATAAAGTCAGGTCTCTCCCCTTGAGCTGGAAAAAGTGCAAACATCTCAGGCTAGGCAAAAATCCTTCCCCTCAGCCCTATTCCAACACACACACACACACACACACTCTCTCTCTCTCTCTCTCTTCTTCTAAAGCCCCTGAGTCCTGCATGACGAAGAGCTAAGAATCCTGACTCCACCTGCAGTTCAGAAAGGGAGACTTCATTGGAGTGCCGGGATGAACTGTATCTATTCATAGGCCTACAGGGGCATCTCTATTCCATGCTATTGTGCTATCTTCTGAGTGATCTGTAACACCAAACCATGCGTGGTCAGCAAAGGGCAGATTATGCGCCCCTCACTGAAGTCTGGCTTGTGTAATGCCAACAGATCCCAGCTGTTGGCAGGCAGGATCAAACCTGGGACCTCTGGAGCTAAATGCATGAGCCGCTACTGCATGAGCTAAAAGCCACCTGCCTTTTTGCTCAGGCTGTAGAGCAAACTCAGTCTCGCTCTCTAAGTGGTCTCGCTGCCACTACATGGGCCAGAACACCACACCCGGGAAGTGTGTGGGTTACACTTGCTCATGCAAGGAACCCATTAGGAGGAAGTGCCACTCAGTGTGAGTAAGGGTTGCCCTAAAGATCTTGTGTCTCTACTAGTTGGAGTGTAAACTGTAGTGTTCTGGGCTATAATACAATAATTGCATTCAACCTGTGGAAAAGAGCCCCTCTTCCCTGTCCTCTGCTCCAGTGGCTGGAGTAGTTATTCTTCACTTCCCTGCCTACAAGCAGTTGAGTAACATCACTTGCACAGAAGAGATGCTCAAGGCTGCTCTAAGTTGTGGCAGACCTTTCTGCATTTAGCTTGCAATCACTTTGGGAGCAGGGATAGTCTCTCACTAGGTGTATGTACAGCACCTAGCACAATGGGATTCTGATGCCAGTTGGTGCCTCTCTGTACTCCCCTGACAGCAATAACTCTCTGTCTATTTTAGGTTTCCCTATCACACTCACCCCCATAGTGTCTAATTGCCATGAGGTCCAGCTACCAGGGACAATTAAAATGTGAATAAAATACAATTGAGATAGTCTGATTTTCTACAGTTATTGGTCATACTCCTCAGACTTCCTTCATATAGCAGCTGCAGAGAACCTGAAGCTTGTTGGTGAATTTATTGACACTAGTAAAATCTTTTCCAGCCCTAGATGTCTGCAAGAAACAAGTTCCTTCTCTCACCTTTGTATCCTCTTCACTACAAGAAGGGCCAGATCCGTCTACTGACCAGAGGTGAGTGAAATTTTTCAGCAGAAACTTTTTTTCAGTGAAAAATGGGGATTTGGGTTAACAAAACTTTTTGCAAATTCATGTTGAATTCAGATGCAAATTGTTTCAGATGAAAAAACCCCAGACAAATTCCTCCACAAATCTATCCATTGTAATATTTTTTAACTTGACACGACTTTCCGTTTTGAAATTTCCTTCAGTTGAATTTTAAAACAGTACAAAATAAATTTTAAAAAGGAAGCTTAAAACCAAAAGAAAACATTTGGTTTCAGGCTGAATGAAACATTCTGTGCGACCCAAAATGAATTTTTTTTTCATCTTTTTGATTTGCTGAAAATTTTCCAAAAAAATCTCATTTTCAGGTCAACCCCAAACAATTTTTTTTACTCTAGTTTTTGGAACTGCTAGTGAACTGAAAAACCAACTATTCCAGGTCCACTGTTGACAACAACTTACGCCAGCTGAGGCTCTGGACTGTAAAGTCTCCTCCAGATAAATCCTTGGATCTAACATCAGAGAGCAAATTGGTGTTTTGGTTCCTTCAGCATAAATTGATTTATGGTGAAAGGTTTGGGTTTTCCTAGAAATCTCCAGGGCATTACAAATCCTTAGATGTTTGTTGTTATATAAGCAAAGGATCTCAGCTCTTGGGGCAAACTTCTCCCTTCTGTACCTATGGGAACATGGTAGTTATTTATCACTGGTTCTACGTTGGTCTTCACTGTGGTATGGGCATGATCCAATGCCCGCTGTATTGAATTGGAGTCTATCCATTGACTTCAGAGGGCACTGGACTAGGGCCGCCTTCTGAATGCCCAAAAGTTATCAAAGCCATGTGTATATATATATATATATTTTTATCATGCTAATCCAAATAAAGCAAAACCAAATGCAACTGGAGGAAATCATCCGTTCTCATTTCAGAGGAATTTAATTAAACAGCCACAAATGTTTGGTGTCAAATGGATAATTGGTGTTGTGACAGGTGTGCCTTTAGCATTGTGAACTGCTCAATAAGCTGATTATACTTTGGCAGCGATCGGAAGCGTTAATGAAAGGATCCGATGCCTGTTTGACTGGGGATTTTTTGGCTACTTGGGCATTATTAGCAATGTTGCTTTGTGCTAAACGTGTGGCATTATTTCTGCTGTATTGCCCCTATTTCTAGGATTTGCACTAGGAAATCATTTCTCAGGCCTGTTCTGTACCAAGCATTTCATTGTAATACTAAGCGGCAGTGCACACTCGATGCAATTCTCGCCGAAGTAAAACAGACACAAGACTCAACTGGTAAGGTCCCTCTGTTCGTCCCCCTCTATTCGACATTGGTGAGGCCTCATCTGGAGTACTGTGTCCAGTTTTGGGCCCCACACTACAAGAAGGATGTGGATAAATTGGAGAGAGTCCAGCGAAGGGCAACAAAAATGATTAGGGGTCTAGAACACATGACTTATGAGGAGAGGCTGAGGGAGCTGGGATTGTTTAGCCTGCAGAAGAGAAGAATGAGGGGGGGATTTGATAGCTGCTTTCAACTACCTGAAAGGGGGTTCCAAAGAGGATGGCTCTAGACTGTTCTCAATGGTAGCAGATGACAGAACGAGGAGTAATGGTCTCAAGTTGCAGTGGGGGAGGTTTAGATTGGATATTAGGAAAAACTTTTTCACTAAGAGGGTGGTGAAACACTGGAATGCGTTACCTAGGGAGGTGGTAGAATCTCCTTCCTTAGAGGTTTTTAAGGTCAGGCTTGACAAAGCCCTGGCTGGGATGATTTAACTGGGAATTGGTCCTGCTTCGAGCAGGGGGTTGGACTAGATGACCTTCAGGGGTCCCTTCCAACCCTGATATTCTATGATTCTATGTTACTCCTGTACTCTGAAGAGTTTTTAAATATGGGAGTCCAAAAAATTCTGAGTCTAACTGCAGCTGGAAGAGGAATTGTCCTACAGTGGAGGTTTGGAAATTCCACTAGTCAATGCATCATTTCTTCAACTTTCACTAAGGAAAGCCAGGCTTTCATAGCCTCTGCAACGCTGCCACCTCTGGGACCCCTGGATCTTAAGACACAAACCGCTACCAGCCGAGCTCAAAGATCAAAGCTCAGCAGCAAAGCTGTAGCAGGCTCAACAACTGCTATGTGGCTTAGCCACCACTAGCACGGGACAGAGTGCCGCACCGCGTGGCTGTGACATACCCATTACACCTTAAATGTTGACTAGCTAGCTAGTTGGGAGATCCACTAGTATAGAAACTGTAGGTGGAAATGACCAATTACATACAGTGCCAAGGCAAGATTGAGGCCTGCAGTATATTCTCCAGGGCTTTGTCCAGTACATTTTTTTAAAACAAGGTCTCTGCTGTTTCGCTTGAGAAACTCGAATAGATACCACCTTCGAGAAGCTTTCCCTGCTGTGTGTTTCTTTGCTCATATACCGCACCCCATTAGGTCTCATTATACCTGTGAGCACCGTCTTAAACATCCCCTCTTCTCCCTCGGTGTTTCCACCGATCAGATGCTTGCAGGCAGTTATCATGCTGCCCTCAAACGATCTGCACCTCATTAATCCCTGCCTTGTCTCACCGAGCCAGTGCCAGAGGGGAACAAAAGCACATTCTCTTCTTAAACACTTGTGTGTAAACAGCCTTCCACTAATGGCTTGCCCCCACCTCTTCCCTCCCTCCCTGCTCCAAGAAAAGATCCAGGGATAAAAAAAAAATCGCTTCCCCACAAATTGCAGGTTTCCATTTGTGCGCTCAGACACTCGAGAAATCCGGTGGCAGGAGAGTCTGAGGCCAGAGGAAGGAAATCAGAGTGTAGGACTCCCCCATGAACCAACACCCTGAGCCCTGGCTGCACGTCTCGTTTATACAACCATTTCTCCAGATGCTGACAGTCTCAAGGGAACCTGGCCCAGCCGGTGTCACACTCATGCCGACTTACACTGGCTGAGGATCTGGCCCCTGTATCTCTAAGGGCAGAGAATTATTAAAAAGAGTGAAATCAGCTGCAGTGCTCCATTCCAGGAACACCCCTGGACTGGTCTGCACGGGATCAATCTAAATATTATCTTCAGGGACTCGGTCCTGCCACAGGGGAAGAAGGCACCGCCTGGGACAGGATCTGGGGAGCCCATGTAGGAGGAGTGGAACCTTGTATGCTGCAGATTGCACTTTAGGGTGGTTCCCTGTGCATTGCTACACGGCGGGGATTAAGGGGATGGGGCGAGTCAGAGGAGGGATTGGTGGATCAGCTACTCTGTGGATCCAGAGGCCCTCATGGAGGGAGGCAGACTGGAGGACTGTCCACGGAGCATCCCCACTGCAGCTTCATGTCCTGATGAGGACTCCTGTGCATGCTGGGGAGATAGTTTGTGGACAAGGGCAGATAATAAGGCCTTCCAGGGTGATGTTTCCAGCAACACCTCCCAGCCCTGTAACTCTGTCTCCATCTGCTCTTTGACCTGCACACACACACAGACACACAAACACAGAGTCAGCTTAGAAAGCCCCGAGAGCAGCGGCGACTCACCCCAGCCAAACAGCGTGAAGCCCCAAAGATACTTCTTCTCAGAGAAAAAGGCCATGAAGATGAGGCTGTGGAGATAGAGCCCTTCCACCAGGATCCAGTAGTAATTGGTCGCCAGGAAGTAGAGGAAGAAGGTGACGACTACCTTACAGCCCATCTGGAGTGAGGGCAGAGGGAGAAAGGGAGGTTAAAAACGCGGTGTGAACCTGAAGCAGTGGTAGTTATGAGCTAGCGAGAGCTTGAAAACAAGCTGGAGAAGAAAAAGGCTACCGTGCAAATTGGAGAGGGCTCTCCAGGGGGTGTTTTACAGGAGGCAGCTTGCTTCTGTGGCTAAGGCCCTGGACTGGGACTGAGGGTTCTAGTCCCACCTCTACCGCTCATTTTGCCTCACTTTTAGACTGTAAGCTCTTCAGGGCAGACACCATTGCTACATGCTTGTACAGCACCTAGCTCAAGTGACTGCAGTTGAGACCTCTAGGCACTATTCTAATAAAAATAATGATAAGGAGGAACATCTTATAGGGCTTGATCCTCAGATGGTGTAATGGCATTAACCCGAGGGAGCTATGCTGATTTACACCAGCTGAGGATCCGGCCCATAAGGTTTACTGTAGGAAGGAAGTCAGTTCATGAAATCTGGTATAAGATGAACTCTCTGTGGAAGAGCCAAGGGGTATCTGACATGGTTGGGTAGTTAGTCCCATTGGGGTGCCCTGAGCAGGGTCTCATTTTGAGCTCGTGGGTTGGATCTGGTGTCATTGGAGCTACTATGGATTTATCCCGGTGTAAGGGCAGGTATGACCTAGTGTTTAGCTCCTGACTGTTCAGGAGAATGTGGGCAAGAAGAGAAACATGTGCCCCCACTTCGGGCTGCAATACACTTGCTAGAGGAGAGAGGTCCTGAGATCTGCCCCATGGCATTTACCATTCGCCTTTGCGCCTCACCAAGAGCACTCAAAGCCCTGGGTTAGGGCTGCTCATTACTTTCGAGTGCCAACTCATTGCTCTTACGGACAATTCTTTCTTCTGTGCCAGTGACCCATCAAAATGGGATTCTAGACCCCAGCATCTGCTGCTGTTTGCACGTGCTGGTTCTGGGTGTCAGCATTCTGGGAGATCATTGATTCAGCCAGCGACTCAGGAACCCATTGATATATTCCTATGACAGGGGCACCTTGCACACACAGGGTGCGCGGGGCGGGGAGCATTGGACAGACGTTAAACAAGCAGCAGGTGGGCACCAGCACATCCGGCAAGTGAGCTGCAGGTCTGCAGCTGCTCTAGATGGTGCACAGAAGCAGCAGGTGTGCAGCAGAGAACAGCCAGTAGGTGCACTGCTGTCGGCACAGACTGCACAGGCAGCAGGTGACACATTCGTTCACTGCACACACGGTGAGCATCCGCTCATTGCACACAGAGGGAGCAGACGCACAGCCGGAGACTGCATATTTGCAGGAGCCAGCGGGAGCCAGGCTCAGTCCTGGTGCGAGCAGACGCAGCTCCACTGAAGTCAAAGGGAGCTGCGCCCACGTCCATCAAGGTTGCATTTAGCACAGGGTGAGCGGCAACGGACAGCCAGAGATCACACCTCCAGAACCAGCCGGTGCACAGCCACGGATTACACAGATAGACACAGGAGGGCTCGGCACCCCGGTGCAGGGCCAGATTCTCAAAAGAACTCCGGTTTTCCAAAGCGCTCAGCCACTCTCCTTAGAACAAGGGGAGCAGAGTGCTTTCGAAAACCCAGCCCCAGTTGTGGAAGCTGGGAACTTTGGAAAGTCTGAGACCCCCCGATTCAGTGCTTATTCCATCACTGTTCTGCAAAACGTTGAAGGCCATGAAGACAGTGGGACTTAGGCAGCTGTACTCTCAGACTTGCAGGCCAGAAGGGGCTATTGGGATGCTCAAATCTGACCTCCTGAATAACACAGGGAGAATTCCACCCAGAACTTGAGTGCTTTGCTGAATCAGTACTGACTGCTGCATCCACGCCTGGGAAAACCTAGCCCTAAACAGGCAAGTCAGCTGAGTCAGATTTAACCCTGGGATTACTATAATTAAATATATAACGTTAACAAGAATCAGTGCTGTCCCAGCCTTACTCGTCGTCGCTATGGAGTGATGATTCCTCATCCCAAGCACAGGGGGACGACCACAGCAATTAGGGTTGCCAGGTGTCCGGTTTTCGACCGGAAAGTTCAGATGAAAAGGGAACCTGGTAGTGTCCGGTCAGCATTGCTGACTGGACACTAAACGTCCGGTTACCCGCAGTAACCGGCCTCCGCCACCGCAGGGCAGGAAGCGCAGCAGCTGGAGCCTGGAGGAGCTGCTTTCTGCTTAGCTGTGGCTGGTTGGCTGGCTCTTGGCTGGCTCCAGTCTTTCTGGCAAATAAGTTGGTGTGTGTGTGTGTGGGGGGGTGAATCCTGTCGGCCCTCACCTGCCCTTCTGTGCCCCCAATTTCCCCACCCTGGCCCTCTGCTCCAGGGACCCCTCCCCACCCCTCCACGCACCGATTGGGCAGGCGCTGCTTCAACTCCTCCCAGCCCAGCTCTGCAGGTGGCAGGTGAGTCCTGGGGGTGAGCGAGCAGAGGGGTGGAGCCTGGGAAAGAGGCAGGACTGGGGGCGGAGTCTCGGGGAAGGGGCAGGGTGTCTAGTTTTCAGCAGTTAGAAAGTTGGCAATCCTAACAGGAATATAGATACCACATTGCAGTAACTGGTGCGTGCAATGCTGACCCCTGTCCATTGCCCTGTCGTCCCCTCCCTGCTGATGCAGGATTGTTCCTGACAGTGGATTTTCTAGGGCTTCCTGCAGTCCCTTTTTAAATGGCTCCTGCAACTGACCTAGTGACTAGGGCTGGTCAAAAACTTACCGTCAAAACATTTTTCTATCGAAAAATGCTATTTCGGTTACATTGATTTTTTTTTAATGCAAAATTGAATCCATTACAATCAGATTTCACATTGAAAAAGTTTGGAAAAAAATCATCGTGAAAATGACAGAACACCTCGTTTAGACATTTTCAGCCCAGAAAGTTTCCGTTTCTCTTTTCAAAGTTACTTTTAGTTCAAAATTTACTCTATTTTATGGTTTTTAAAATTAAAAATGTTGGAAATTGAAACAAAACATTTTGACTGACCTACAATGAACCTTTCTGGGGACTTCTGTTTTGTGAAAATGTCCAAATTTTGGCTTTTTGTCCCAATTTGGGACGCTTCCCCCCTCCCCCAAAATCTCGAAATTTTTTGCAGGATGGACAATCCATTTTCTGACCTGCTCTACTTATATCCTGTCCTCCTGGGGCAGTGGATATAGGCACTGCCTCTTGCTCAGAGAATATTATAAAGTGAACAATGTAGCCCCAGCATGGCTGGCACAGAATTGCGTAGCTCATGCCCTCTTCTGTGGCTAAAAAGAGGAATTTTCAGTGTGCAGAGCTGTCAATCTGGCAACTTTCACCAGCCAGAAAAATAATTTTCTGTTAAAGATAACAAGTGAAAAAAATATATAAAGAAGATAAATTAAAAAAAAATCCCATTCAAATGATACTTTCTATATTCTTCGAAAATTATCAGCGACCCACACTTTAACAGCCCAAGGCAATAATTATGGAGCTCCCACTTTGTTTGGAAATAAAGTAATATATTAATAATTGCTAAACCCTTTAGGTACTTGTTTGCTTTTGCAGTTCACTAAATAGAAAACATCTCTGACATAAAATTTCTTGACGAATGCAGCAAAGTACATGTATTCTTTGCAAACTCTGAGTGTTTTGCTTTTAGTTGATGTAGGCTAGTGCAGAGCTAATGGAAGAGCCGGCATCTTGAGTAATACAAGGAATCAAATTGAAGATTTTCTGAATTAAACATGTATCACTAAAGCTTGAGGTAAAGAGGCATGGTCTGTAATAGACCCACATCCTCTGCAGATGGGGACACGTAACAAAAGCTACGAAAATAATGGATTTGTCAGTTCAGGGGCTGAACCGAAAAATCTGGAAAAAAATCCAGTTTGATTTAAACCAAAACCTTTTTTTTTTTTTTTTGGTCAAAACACTGAATGTTTCAGATGATTCAAAGCGATTTTTTGGGGTGAAAGGGTTTGTTTTTTTTTGATTCAGCCATTAGGTGCTTTAAACATCACTGGCCAAATTTGAAACTGAAATGCGGTTTGGAATCAAAAAGTCAAGCTGAAATGTTTGGAATCTTCTAAAAAATTTTCTCCAACCAAAATCATTTGTCAGATTCAACCAGATTTTAGCAAATAGTTTGCGGGCCGGAAAAAAAAGCATTTTTTTGGTGCAAAAGAAAATCAAAAAATTTTTTGGCCCAGCTCCTCACATGGTGTTCACCAGGCTATGCTAACGTGTGAAGTGGCGTTACTGGTTCTGAAATAGCCCTCGGCCGTTTCAACACAACTGGGGAGCGGGGGAAGTGCTCTTCAAACTGGCAGATATGTGGCCTCAGGAATAACCCAGTTTGCCATTTCAGGGCCAGTTCCTACATATAAATTGGCACAACTCCACCAACTTCCACTGGGCGAGGATCTAGCTCATAGAGTCCAAAACCTTCAGGCCCAGGAACATCCCTTAGCACATTGTGGTTTCTACCAGAAACGTATCAATAAATCATAGGAATAAACTACAATGGGAACAGCCAATTACAGTGAACGTCAACCTGTAGCGGTGACAATGGAATCATAGAATCATAGAACCATAGAATATCAGGGTTGGAAGGGACCCCAGAAGGTCGTCTAGTCCAACCCCCTGCTCGAAGCAGGACCAATTCCCAGTTAAATCATCCCAGCCAGGGCTTTCTCAAGCCTGACCTTAAAAACTTCTAAGGAAGGAGATTCTACCACCTCCCTAGGTAACGCATTCCAGTGTTTCACCACCCTCTTAGTGAAAAAGTTTTTCCTAATATCCAACCTAAACCTCCCCCACTGCAACTTGAGACCATTACTCCTTGTCCTGTCCTCTTCTACCACTGAGAATAGTCTAGAACCATCCTCTCTGGAACCACCTCTCAGATAGTTGAAAGCAGCTATCAAATCCCCCCTCATTCTTCTCTTCTGCAGACTAAACAATCCCAGTTCCCTCAGCCTCTCCTCATAACTCATGTGTTCCAGGCCCCTAATCATTTTTGTTGCCCTTCGCTGGACTCTCTCCAATTTATCCACATCCTTCTTGTAGTGTGGGGCCCAAAACAGGACACAGTACTCCAGATGAGGCCTCACCAATGTCGAATAGAGGGGGATGATCACGTCCCTCGATCTGCTCGCTATGCCCCTACTTATACATCCCAAAATGCCATTGGCCTTCCTGGCAACAAGGGCACACTGCTGACTCATATCCAGCTTCTCGTCCACTGTCACCCCTAGGTCCTTTTCCGCAGAACTGCTGCCTAGCCATTCGGTCCCTAGTCTGTAGCGGTGCATTGGGTTCTTCCGTCCTAAGTGCAGGACCCTGCACTTATCCTTATTGAACCTCATCAGATTTCTTTTGGCCCAATCCTCCAATTTGTCTAGGTCCCTCTGTATCCTATCCCTGCCCTCCAGCGTGTCTACCACTCCTCCCAGTTGATGTAGGCTAGTGCACAGCTAATGGAAGAGCCGGCATCTTGAGTAATACAAGGAATCAAATTGAAGATTTTCTGATTTAAACATGTATCACTAAAGCTTGAGGTAAAGAGGCATGGTCTGTAATAGACCCACATCCTCTGCAGATGGGGACACGTAACAAAAGCTACGAAAATAATGGATTTGTCAGTTCAGGGGCTGAACCGAAAAATCTGGAAAAAAATCCAGTTTGATTTAAACCAAAACCTTTTTTTTTTTTTTTTTGGTCAAAACACTGAATGTTTCAGATGATTCAAAGCAATTTTTTGGGGTGAAAGGGTTGTTTTTTTTTTTGATTCAGCCATTAGGTGCTTTAAACATCACTGGCCAAATTTGAAACTGAAATGCGGTTTGGAATCAAAAAGTCAAGCTGAAATGTTTGGAATCTTCTAAAAAATTTTCTCCAACCAAAATCATTTGTCAGATTCAACCAGATTTTAGCAAATAGTTTGCGGGCCGGAAAAAAAAGCATTTTTTTGGTGCAAAAGAAAATCAAAAAATTTTTTGGCCCAGCTCCTCACATGGTGTTCACCAGGCTATGCTAACGTGTGAAGTGGCGTTACTGGTTCTGAAATAGCCCTCGGCCGTTTCAACACAACTGGGGAGCGGGGGAAGTGCTCTTCAAACTGGCAGATATGTGGCCTCAGGAATAACCCAGTTTGCCATTTCAGGGCCAGTTCCTACATATAAATTGGCACAACTCCACCAACTTCCACTGGGCGAGGATCTAGCTCATAGAGTCCAAAACCTTCAGGCCCAGGAACATCCCTTAGCACATTGTGGTTTCTACCAGAAACGTATCAATAAATCATAGGAATAAACTACAATGGGAACAGCCAATTACAGTGAACGTCAACCTGTAGAGGTGACAATGGAATCATAGAATCATAGAACCATAGAATATAAGGGTTGGAAGGGACCCCAGAAGGTCATCTAGTCCGACCCCCTGCTCGAAGCAGGACCCATCCCCAATTAAATCATCCCAGCCAGGGCTTTGTCAAGCCTGACCTTAAAAACTTCTAAGGAAGGAGATTCTACCACCTCCCTAGGTAACGCATTCCAGTGTTTCACCACCCTCTTAGTGAAAAAGTTTTTCCTAATATCCAACCTAAACCTCCCCCACTGCAACTTGAGACCATTACTCCTTGTCCTGTCCTCTTCTACCACTGAGAATAGTCTAGAACCATCCTCTCTGGAACCACCTCTCAGGTAGTTGAAAGCAGCTATCAAATCCCCCCTCATTCTTCTCTTCTGCAGACTAAACAATCTCAGCTCCCTCAGCCTCTCCTCATAACTCATGTGTTCCAGGCCCCTAATCATTTTTGTTGCCCTTCGCTGGACTCTCTCCAATTTATCCACATCCTTCTTGTAGTGTGGGGCCCAAAACAGGACACAGTACTCCAGATGAGGCCTCACCAATGTCGAATAGAGGGGGATGATCACGTCCCTCGATCTGCTCGCTATGCCCCTACTTATACATCCCAAAATGCCATTGGCCTTCCTGGCAACAAGGGCACACTGCTGACTCATATCCAGCTTCTCGTCCACTGTCACCCCTAGGTCCTTTTCCGCAGAACTGCTGCTTAGCCATTCGGTCCCTAGTCTGTAGCTGTGCATTGGGTTCTTCCGTCCTAAGTGCAGGACCCTGCACTTATCCTTATTGAACCTCATCAGATTTCTTTTGGCCCAATCCTCCAATTTGTCTAGGTCCCTCTGTATCCTATCCCTGCCCTCCAGCGTATCTACCACTCCTCCCAGTTTAGTATCATCCGCAAATTTGCTGAGAGTGCAATCCACACCATCCTCCAGATCATTTATGAAGATATTGAACAAAACCGGCCCCAGGACCAACCCCTGGGGCACTCCACTTGACACCGGCTGCCAACTAGACATGTTGGAATCCATCTCCAAGTCTCTGCCACAGGAGTGTCAGATGGCCTAGAAACGGCTGCTGAGTGATGTCTGCATGGTTTGTACCGAGAAGAGCTGCCGAGCGGGAAATCATTGAATGATGTACTCTGGGGGGAGTTGTACATGTTGGGAAACTGATGTACTGACATATCTGGTGGAACAGAGGCACGGAAATTGTTCAAAAAGGGAGTATCTCCACAGCCACTCGGGGTATATTTACACACCCAGTGGCAGCCCACGGCAGCAAGCCTCTAAGCCTAGGTTGACAGACCTGGGCACGTGGTTCAGGGCTAAAAGAGCTATGTAGACAGCACTTGGAAGTTGCAGCTCGGACTGGAGCTCAGCCTCTGAAACCCCGAGCACCAGCCAGAGCTGCCACATCTATAGGGCTCAGGAAGGTGAGCCCCACAAGCCCAAGTCTGTCAATGTGGATTTGCAGGCTCGCTTCCGTGGGCTGTGCAAATGTTCCCTTTATACAACAGGGTCCTGACGTTGTTCTTTAAAGAGGTGGTGCCCATCTTTCCACATAACGGTGCTGGGAATGGCCCTAAACCCTAGCTCTGATGTGACCTGGGACGACTGCGGGTGAAGAACTTGCATTGGTCGGGCAGACCAGAAGGTTCTCTTGGGTCATTGCTGATAGACCGTGGGCTGGATTCAAGCCAGGTACTAGGGAAGAGGGGATGCGGAAGACGTTGTGGTTTACTAGGTGGGGAAGAGGAGTCAGATGTCTCAGTCTCCCATTGGGGAAGAGGCAGGAAGTGGATAAGGCCCCAGATCACCAGCGTTCTCAGGGTGAGCCACACAAGAGGGAGAGGTAAGACGTAACCGGCCATACAGCAGTACTCACAAACTGCGACTTATCCGCTGGGGGGGCCTCGGTGATGGACATGAGATCTTCTTCAGACAGATGCTCCATCTCCTCCAGAGCTGACCCGGAGTACAGGACCGCGTCCTTCACAAAGATGCTGACTGCTCTCAGCATGAAGGAGACAAACAGGTGCATGTGGATGTAGTTCCTTGTGCAGTGTAAACGCCTGGAAGGGGAAAGGGAGAGACACAGGATTGGAACGGTTTAGATGTCCAACTGGGCCTAGTCAAGCTCAGCTGTGCTTCCTAATGGCACAGTGGGGTCGAACGATTCGGCACAGTGCTGATACCCCAGCACACCTCCTCTCAGGAATGCTGTGCCCCTGCAGTGACCCAAGGCTACAGCCACAGCCCCACTCCAGTGCAAATTCACCCCTGGCGTAACCCAGGGGATTGGTTGGAGGTTGAACAAAAGCCACAGAGGCAGCTGACCTAGCAGTTGGGTGGGATAGGGTGCCCCAGCAAGAATAAAATATGGGGGATGGGTTTAAAGGTCCCTGAGATGTCACACTCAATTATACACCCTGCAAGTAAGATGTAAAATTAAGGCCCAAGATCTTGTGGTCATTTGTGGCACGGGGTTGTTAGTCCCTGTGTTAATATTTATATCCTATCTGGTTAGATTCCCTCTTCAGCTTCAATTAGATATAATATTCTACTTCACTTCCTGTTGTGTAGTGTTTCTGTGCACTGTTAAACAGCTGCTGAGCTCCACACCAGAGGTGGCGGCATTGCAGTGACAGGTGAAGTGATACCTGAATACAGATTGTAAAGAACTTTGAGATCCATTATACTGTAGCAGTGTAAGATGTGATATTGTTTGTTTAGCTAGCACTCAGAGAGCCTCTGAGTTTGCATCCTTTGAAATCCCCAGGTCTAATGATATGAAGAAGACAAAGAATCTAGGTCTGTTGTTAAGATTATGGATTTTAATGGGGGCAAGGGTGTCTTAAGACAATCTCAATTACAGTTCCTTGGTATTTTCCTCTATTTAAAGCCTTTAGGCCCCCTATGATACAAAGAGTGCTCAATGGATTTGTACAGGTCTGAGTAAGAGCAGGATTTGTTCCTGTAACTGAAATTTAATTAATGAGTCTCTTGCTGACATGTGAGCCAGAATAGAATCCAGCTCACTCCTGTGTAGTTGTGTTGGCTCTCCAGGGCAAAGAGAGCTGGCTGGGAAATGGATTTGCCGTCCTGTGAAAAAAATTGAGATTTTGAAAACAAAAAGATCATCCCAAATCATCCCCAATTCGGACAAAATGCCAAAATTTCAACAACTAAAATTGCTAAATCACACTATAAAAAAAATTGTTCTGGGGCAAATCAACAATTTTATGTTCATCCTTTTGAAATGGTTGAAGAATACCAAGTTTAATACCAAACAGAGTAAATTTCAAACCCCCAAGTGGTGCTTTTTTCAACTGTTTGTTCTGAACATGTCGAAGGGGGAGATCTGATGTTTTCAAATGGTTCCCCCCCCCCAATCTTTTTTCCCAAAATGAAATGTCGAAGTAGATACAATTTTGCGAGAAAATTTGGCTTCATCAAAACAGCATTTTCCAGCAGAAACCTTGTTTCAGCCAAAACATTTTGACCAGCTCTAATAAATAAAGTGTATTTTTGCTCCCTATAGCAAGTCAATCTATCTCTGGGCGACTAGAGAGAACATTTCTCCTAAGCAAGAGGAAGCTGTTTTTATACAGTCACTTCTCTGAGCACAGCCGCTCTCTATCAATGATCAACAGAAGGAAGCATGAGACAGCGCAAGACCTGAGCTTAATCAGAATTTCCATTCAATGGGCCAGAGGTACAGCATTAAATGTTTTAACAAGCTATCCAGGTCTCCGAAAAGAAACAAAGCATCTATCCTGGAAAAGACCCAAAGGAATGGGAGATTCATGGCCATGTAGGGGCTGCACTATGGGTCTCAGAATAGCTCATGTAAATGTCATCACGGTCCCAAAGCAGTCTGAGCTTGTCGTGTTGCACTGGCCTGTGTGAGTGTCTGATCTATGCGTATGGGGCTCCCTTTGTTGTCTAGGCTAATAAAACTGCCTTCCTTCAGCACATATACTAAAATTGGAATGATACAGAGAAGATTGCATGGCCCCTGAGCAAGGATGACATGCAAATTCGTAAAGCGTTTCATTTCCCAGAGAGCGGCCTGTGTGTTTTTAGAGTCAAAGGTCCCATGTGCAATTCCCAGTACTGCACATCCATGGTTTAGCCCAGGCTAGTTCTGTGCTGTCTGGGAGACTGTCTGCAGCCGTACCATTGCTGTTAGCAGTGTGGAGAGGTTACTCCCACCGCTGCTGGCTGACACTGCCTGTCATGATCACAGCCCACTAAGTCGTCAGTGACAACCCAAGGGGTGGCCCAGAATCAGAACTCGGGATTTCTGGGTTCCCTGCCCAGAGCCAGCTCTGGGTGCAGGTTACAGCAGTCTGTTGGCTGCTCTAAATTACACCCGCTGGCTGTGGTCCTCAAAGGATGGGGATGGTACAGGTTCCTCACCCAGATGAGGTTGCAGGAAGATGGACCAATTTCAGGGGCAGGTAAAGGTAGCGGCCACTTCTAAGGAGCGCCAGACTGCTGTGCCACTCAGCTTGATTTCATTATTTGTTTTTGCTCTGCTGTGATTGGCCAGTTTTGCTCCAATAATTAGCCAGCCACTTTGTTTCGCTCCGCCCCATGAGCGCGGGAGTACCAAAAACATTTTTCATCCTGGCCAGCAAAACGGTCCAGGCCTCTCCTGGCAGGGACAAGGTGTAGGATCCAGCTCTGTTGGCTCTATGCCCCCCACGCTGGGAGAATTCCTACCTCGGTGCTTATAGTCTATTTCTGCTTCCTGTGCACCACAAGGGGACCAGAGAATCAGCGCCATTGCTTCCATGTGCTCCGTTCAGCTTGTAACCCTTTCTCCAAACAGAGGCATTAGGTTCTGAGCTCTGTCTGCCTGCTGTGATTACGTCAGCATTTGGAGGGGTTCTACCTAACCCCAAGAGGTGTGTTTGAGTGGCACCACACACAACCCAACTAGCAAATAGTAAAACAACCCCTGTGTCTGATAGATGAAACACACACAAAAAAGGAGGAGCTTTGTTATTGACAAAAACCTAAGTCTCCTCCAATCTCCTCCAGGTGACCTGTGTGATTAAACTGATACCCCCACAAAAGGAAAAACAGAGCCGCCTACCTGAAGTATCCCAGGATAAGGACAGCAACTGTCAGGGATCCCAGAGAGATGGAGTATCCAACAGTATAAATCAAATAGAGGCGATAAAAGACTTCCTGCAGCACAAATAATGGGGGGGGGGGGAAACAGTGCCAAATTAGAATGAATTCTGCTTTATTGTAACCCAACAATGCTAGCAGCATAAAGAGTCAGGCTCTTGTATCTGCGGAGAACAGAAACCCAAAGGGCAAAGAAGCAGTGGCTGCTTATGGGAACGGGATATCATGTGGTCTTCTGAGTACATGGACAGCATGCGAAGTGCTACACCTATTTCCTAGTGAACGAAGGTTACCGTGAATTTTGCAGGAGAGTCATGATTTGTGTCAAATTGAACTTATGCAGCATCTTTCATCCCCAAAGATCCCAAAGCACGTTGCAAACTGTTGGCCAAATCCTGACGTCCTTTGTTGGCTCTTGCTCAGGCAAAACTCCCATTGATTTCATTATGATATTTGCCTGACTAAGGATGTGTAGGATTTAGCCCACAGGATATGCAGCACCACTGATGTGCAACTGTAATACCTACAGACCTGGTCGTCAGTGGGCGGGATTGAACCGGAGACCTCTGGAGCTTGGTGCGTGAGCCTCTAGCACATGAGCTAAAAGCCAACTCGCTGCTAGCTAAGGCTGTACAGCAGACTCATTTTCTCTCTCTCTCTAAGTGGACTTGGTGACACTAGATGGGACCCAACACCCAGGAGGTGTGTGGGTTACGTACTTCCCCCAGCTGAGAGAGCGCATCCCGAGCTTCAGAGTCTTCTCAGATGAAATCGCAGACAAGCCCCTACTTATAATGCCGACAGACCCTGGTCATCGGCAGGCAGGATTGAACTGGGGATATGGGGAGCTTAGTGCATGAGCCTCTGCAGCATGAGCTAAAAGCTGGCTGTTAGCTAAGGCTGTAGAACGGACTCATTTTATCTCTCTAAGTGGTCTCGGTACCACTAGATGGGACACACCACCACACCCAGAAGGTGTGTGGGTTACACAATCAGCTCTGGGGTGGAGGGCATCAGCACATAACACATAGATGCGAGGAGGAGAAATTTGGCCCAGGGATGCAAAGAGAAATCACCTGTTCTTCCAGAAGTGCCTAAGGATCTTTATTGTTCATGCAAGACTTTGTTTTGAAAAGTCTCCTCAGAAAGGCCTCCTCACTTTAGACTGCATGGATCTCTAGAGATCAATCTTGCATTAAGGGTACAGACTAGACACGTAAGAGGTCTTTTTCACCTCCAATTTCTAAGTCACAGCTTCAAGGAACCTTCTATTGCAGGGAGTCTTCCCTTAAAAGCTGGGGGCTTATCTCCATTCTCCCAAGGAAGGAACATATCTGTTGCAGGTTTGAATATCAGCTTTAGCAGGATTAAAACATCTACCAACATGGCAGATCATCATTTCGTCTTCTGAATGGAGAAATAAACACAGGAAGAAATCAACCAATTCAGCATCTTTCTTCCTCCTCCCTTCCCACCCCAGAGTTTCAGTAACATTAGTAACGCTGGGCTCAGAATGACAGTTCTGATTTTGATCTGGGGCTAGAAATGCCACACTAGAATGCTAACCTCAAGCCCTATTACATCAGAATACCCAGCTCTGGGAACATTTCCTTGTGGTTTCCTCTGGTGGAGTGCTGGGCTTGCCAATGTTCTTTTTTTGTTTTTCAAGCAGTGGTTGCAGCAGGCAAGCCGTACAAGCAGACTGCACAATTCGAAAGAGCAGGCTCCGTACGAGCCCTAACTTGCTTCTCCCCAATGAAGCTGGGTATCCTAGCTGTGCTGAAACATGTGCTTGCATCCACCGCAATGGCTTGTGCTCCAAGACGGGATTATGGTGGCGAAGAATTACTACGCCAAGCAAGCGGACCAAAATCCTTTCTCCTTCCCCATTCAGAATTTTAACCGGAAACACCCACATCCCTATCAAACAATGGCTACATTGTAGCAGCTCTGAGTGTGCTACCGAAAGGGATCTTCTGATTGGCCAGTAGATGTTCTAAAGCGCATGGTTAATTTTTCTCTTTAACAACATGGGGGCCTCCTTTGAAATGATGGTGACCCAGAGGAGCCGAACACACACACATGCATTCGTGCACACACACACACACACATACACGCATGCTTGCACACACACACACACACACACACCCCCGCATGCTTGCACACACACATAAACATGTACACACACTTGCAAGCCTAGGAAGCAAAATAAAGTTCAGGTAACACAGCGGCATCATGGGAAAACAGATTGCTAGGCTCACAGACATGTAGGAAGAGACCTGTTGGATCACGGGAGCCATTCCCTTGCTGGGCAAAATACAGTCCCCTGACCGAGTGCTGAACCGTGTGGGTGGGGAGGGATTTGTGTGTTGGTGAGGGGCGGGGATACACTGCCCCAGAGGCAGCTCCCAGAAGCACTCTCACTGATTTAAGACAGACGCTCCCAGGATGCTGCTCGGCATGGCCTATGAAAGAGTACAGTGCACTGTTCCCCTCCAGCTCTCCCGGCTGGGGGAGAGGCTGGTATGTCCCCATCCTTTGCTCCTCCCCATCCGATCACTGGCTTGCAGCAGTCCTTGTGCTCGGGGAGTGCAAGGATTGGCATTCCTGTGTGGAAAAAAGGGGATGGGGAGAGATTTTGAAGCCCCCCCCTCCTATTCACAGCGTAGCCCAAATCCCACTTCAGTTTGCTACCTACTAGGCCATCCTTCCCCTCTATACAATACACCAGGCTCTTTCCCTGGTGCTCACTCTGTCCAACTGTGAACACACTGTTAATAGATCAGCTCAGCGTTGCTAACCCCAGCCGCCTGACACTCACGAGTCATGTCTCCCCAAATCACGAGACTGATTTAAAAAAAATCACAAGGGTTTTAAAAATAATAAACGTGAGGTTCTGTTTAGTTGCCTCCTGGTTTGAGCCTTCGTGTTTTCAAGCTCTTCTCCACAACCATCACGGCTACAAACTTAGCCTTTTTCCAAAATAAAAGCCAAGATTCTCACCTAATCACCTGACTCCAGGAGCTGGAGCTTTCAGAAAAGCCCCAGATATTGTGATCAAACTGCAATGGTCTGGGAAAGGCCAGCTCTCGAGGACGGTAGATCACAGCCCAGAGCTCAAGCAGTGGCTTGCATTGTGGCATTTGTTCTGGCATTTATTTGGCCATGAAAGTGGTTTCACATCCATGGTTATGTTCCTGCACCCGGGCCATGCCATGTTTGTCTTCGCTTAGGCCACAAAACAGATGTTACTCTCCTCCCTTGCCTAAGAGCTAGGTGGTGATGGGAGGATGGAGATCGGGTGGGTGAGGGAACCATCATGTCCCTGCGGGCCACACTGGTGCGATTGTTTCAAATTAAACTCTGCCTTGGCCATGCCTAATTAGCATGCTGCTGTGGGCATTGCCAAAGCAAGCCTGCCTCGGCCAGTGCCCGCATGGAGAAAGGGTTGGGTACCTTGTCATCACCCAGACAACTGTCTTGCAAGGTGGCATAGCAAAGGCCGGAGGGCACTGGGTGTGTATTCAAACGGGGCGGACGGATCCCAGGCTGCTGGGTTTGATGGGCTCCTCTCCACTTCCCCCAGCAGCAATGCATCCTGCTGTGTGTTATCCCGGGAGGGGGAGATGTGGAATTGCGGCACGCCGTGGCCCCATCTCTACCTGCCCCCCTGCCACTGCCTCCACCGGCTCGTGCCAATGCCTGATCTTCTTTCCAGCAAACGAGCCCTAATGTAGCCCTGTACCTGGGCTCTGTCCTCTGGCAAGAGAGGAAGAGCATGACTCTACCCATGAGATCTTCCCTGCAGTGAGCTGTGCCAGGCAATGCTGTACCTTGGGGCCATCCCCCCAGGAGAAAGTCAGGGCTCTTTCCCTGGTGCCAGCTGACACTGCTCCTCCTTGAGCCAGCTGATCTGCTTGCAGTCGAGCCATGCAAAGTGCTTCCAGTCTGGGCCCTGCCTCTCCTGCCCGGTCTGGGAGCCATTCCTTCCGCAGCAGTCTCCTACCACCCAGTGCCAAGCCATGCCGGTGCAGCCCATGCCAAAGCCACAGTCATGTCTCTTCTCTTCCGGGAGGTAACCTACACAAGCTTGACTCCTGGGCAGTGCATGGGGAGAGGTGGGATCAAGGCTCTGCCCACTCGGAGTAACTGCTTTGCCGAGGCTGCTTTCCCCACCGCCCCGCAACCCGCCACGTGGGAGTCTGAGGATGTCTCACATTGCTTTATGCTCCTGGACCATGCATAACACTGGGCACAACGAAGAGACACCAAGCCACTAAACATCACCACCCACTGTGCCCTGTCTTCCAATGGAACACCAGGAGCAGGCATCTGGAGCATCTGGTGTGGGACAGACAGGGGAGGACATTTGCAGACCGGACTAGTGATCCAGGAGGCCTTATTTTTCGGATGCCCAACGGCAGTTGCCGTGAAGAGGCCTGATGCTCAAAGGGCAGGTGCTCAGTGCTTTCTGAAGCAGGCCCCTTCGAGGCGCCTCAGTCTAGGGCCCTACAATGACAAGTCGCTGGTGTGAATTTAGGCCAGGATCATCCTATATCCGCATGTGAGATATTCAGCTACAGGCTGAGACTGAGGAACGATTCCACCTGGCCACGCCCTTAGACAGCTCTCCAAGGGATCGGTCAAGAAGAGGAAATGGCTCCAACCGTCTTTAATGAGTTGTGTAAGATGGGATGGTTATTATAAAGGGCATGCTCAAAAAGGGTTTACTGGCCCATATATCTGCAGACTCAGTTAAAGCTGTTGATTCAGACATTGTTAATTACATGCTTAAAACTAGTGAGGACTGCATTTGACTGCCACAAATGCCAACCCATGCCAGTGAAATGCTGTCACCATTCCTAGCCTTTGTTTTAACATTAAAAAAAAAAGACACTTAATTGGCCCATGGGGCCCATTTTCAAAGAGCAGCTAATTGCCCAACTCCCACAGACAGTCCATAGGAGTCGGGAACTGCCTCTCTCCCCCCCAGTCTTGAGACCCCTCAGGCTCCATGGATTTGGATAGGAGTTGGGCATACTTGGCACCTCCCAAAT